GTCAGTGTTTTGGTCTGCGAGGACTGGATCCTGACACATGAGCTTCAGCGCTTCAAGAAGTCCTAGATAGGTCACTGACTGTGAATATGAGCTGTGGAATCACTGTAAAACTTCTATATACAAGGTGAAACATACATAAATGTATATCACAAGTTTAAAATACTGCACAGTAAATGTCTTTTACAAGCTTCAAATATATGTTTTGATATAGAATGGCCAAAAAAAATGTTCATGTCAATTGTCATTAGCTTAGCACTAACATACTACTAGAATCCTAGAGGCACTAACAGAAATTACCATTATTATAGAAGTGTTTTTCTTCACTTTTCACTGAATTTTGAGATTTATGGCCTGAACTGAAGGCCTAGCTCTAGCAGTCACGGTTCACCACTGCTATACAGTGAGGCCTTGCCAGCTTGCACAAGGCAGCATAGTGTTCTAATAAAATTGCATTTTTGCCATGTTTATATCTACATTTGAAAGTGTTTAAGTACCATGTTGAACCCTGCTGGTCATAAACAGCTGTAAATCTTTTCTTTGTATTATTTTTATGTTTCACTTTCATGTAAGCTTAGAAGTTCCTGACTGCTGCTGTGTGTCATGTTACCACAGGGCATCATTACAATGTCTGTGTGCCATCACACACAGGCTGATAATGAGGACTCAGAGTGGATAATGATCACATCCTTTAGAGCTGACCTGATATGCATCTACATTCTTTCACTTATATACAGAAACCTACTGTCTAGAGTTGTGGCAAACTAGCAACTTGCACAGTCCACTGATCCACTTTTCTTGGGTAAGTTCTACTTACCCAAGAACCCTTCACGCCTGCCTCCCAGTGTGCTTCATTCCCACCAGTTTCTACTAAATAAGCCCCTAATCACCAAAGAACAGGAAGACCGCTAGCTCTATGCAAAGCATGACAGCTGGAGAGGAGCATGACCCAAACCCATACAGATCAGCTACCCTGCTGCTTCCCGAACCATTAAAGGGCCCATATGGAAAACTGAATTTTCCTCATTTTTTAAAATAACTTTGAAGTCAATGCACCATTTCAAAACATAACATGCCCATTTCATAAAGTCTATATATGAGAGACTAAGCTGCTAAAACAGCCTAATTTGAAATGTTTTGCTTTTGTGATTTCACAAAGACCGACACATTTACATATATTCACTCATTTCACAAGTCATTTCCATATTCAAGGTATGAGTGGATCAGACACAGCAGTGTTGCTGATGTTTTTAAACACTGTGTACACTCACTGTCCACTCTATTAGACACTCCTATCTTATTGGTCCACCTTGTAATGTCAGAGAAAGTAGCTATACAGTTTGTGTTGGGTCATCCTCTAGTCATTCATCAGTGGTCACAGGATGCTGCCCACACCATAATGTTGGCTGGATATTTTGATTGGTGGACTATTCTCAGTCCAGCAGTGACATTGAGGTGTTAAAAAAGTAGAGCTGCTGCGTCTGATCCACTTGTACCAGCACAACACACACTAACACACCACCACCATGTCAGTGTCACTGCAGTGCTGAGAATGATCCACCCCAAATAATATCTGCTCTGTGGCGGTCCTGTGGGGTCCTGACCATTGAAGAACATGGTATAAGTATGGAGAGAAAAAGAAAGGCTTTTCTTTTTATGTGATAACACTGGTATAGTAAGGTAGCCAAGGAAAACTGGTAGGTTGGATGAGTAAGACCTCCTCTTAAGATGAGCTAATGTGCTAACAGAGATAACCAAATTCTGATAAGTACTCACGGTCCTTTTAGGTGGTCTTGTGAACATGTTAGTTTGTCAGGGAAATTCCTTTTTACTGTTTCTGGATCTAGATAGCATCAGTTAGTGTAGATAGTGATACAGCCATCCCACCAACCAGTTTCAAAACATTTACTTACTCGCAAATATGAGTTAACTCGCCACATTTTACAGTACTGTTAAAAATGTAAAATCAGGATTCAGTAATTTCACTGAACCTGTATATTTTCTCCACCTTCCTGTGATGAAATGCAATGAATACCCAAACTGCGATTTAAGGATTCAAATACTGGCCCTAGAAAATTTCTAAAAAGGTGAATTGTCACTCAGTAATGTCTGCCAGGTTTGTGTGATGCTAGAGGACACTCCCGAGTGAGTCAAAATGGAATGGGCTCCTACAGAGCTTTTGTGTAAAATCGTACGTTGTAAATACTTAATCATTTCATGCAGAGTTTTTATGCACTAATTTTCTTAACATAGAGCACCGTAACATATTTTCACACTGTGCCTTATGTACATTCACAAGGTCAGTCAGCCTGAATTTCTTTACTCAACCAGTGAACCGGTCAGCTTGCCAACTAAGCAGCACTCAGTAGCAGTAATGCAAGCCTTCTACTGCCCAAAATCCATTTGTTGTAGAAAAACAGAAATACGCTGGTAGATTTTCTTTCATTTTTTAATGGGATACATTTTTCTACTTTCCAAATTGAAGGAAGTTCCACAAAGAAACTCTTTTTTAGCGATTCAGCTCCATTCACACCCATTCATTGAGGACTCGCTGGCCGGCACCCTCTACTGTTTTGCAGTAACGTTTTTGATATAATGGGAGACACAGGAAGTGGCCAGGATCCTCTGTGCACAGCCCTGGTTTTTGGTACCTAAACATCATAAGTGAATGTCAGAGGAAGAAATAAAATCCAAGGAAAATGTAGAAAATACTTGGCCCTTAAAACCCACTCTGTCCACCCTCAGACAAGGAGTGCAGAGCTTGGGGAGGTTCTAGGTGCTTGTATGCTTACAGTGCTCTCACAGGGTCTTTGAGAACATTGTGTCTCTGAGTCTTCTGAAGTGTTAACCTACATTCATCATGGCCTTGAAATGCTTCTTCTGCAATTCATTGAAACGAGCTGCGAAATCCTCTTGGAAGTGCAAATTCTACACTCTGCAATCGATACTACATTAATTCAACTAATAACCAGAAAAAGGTTGGAAGTGCTAACTGGAAAATGTTGATATGGAATATAAACTTAAGCATCATACATTAGGTGACAACACTCCTACAAAAGACAGTTCTTCAAGGGCTCTTAAGTAAAGACAATGGTTCTATATAGAAACATGAACACTCAAAGAAACAGTTCTTTGGAATTTTTGAAAAGGGTTTTATATTGCACCAAAAAGGTTCGGCCATTGCTACAATGTCAAGCTTGTAACAATATACTATTAAAACAGATGGTTCTTCAAGGGTTCTTTAGTAAAGAAATTCGTTCTATATAGAACCATGAAGACTCAAACAACCCTTTGTCTTATTAAAGGGTTATTTGCATCATGAATACATTCTTCAGATTGATGGAGAATGTACTGTAGAGGGTTCTATATAGAATCTTTTTAAAAAGGGTTCTATATGGCACCAAAAAGGGTTCTGTTATTGCTACAATGTCAAGCTTGTAACAATACACTCTTAAAAAAGATGGTTCTTCAAGGATTCTTTAGTAAAGAAAACGGTTTAATGTAGAACCATGAATACTCAAAGAACCCCTGGCCTTATTAAAGGGTTCTTTGCATTGTGAAAGGGTTCTTCAGGTTGATGGAGAATGTGCTGTAGATGGTTATAAATAGAATGTTTTTGAAAAGTGTTCTATGTAGCACCAAAAGGGTTCCACTATTGTTACAAGCCAAAGAACCCTTTTCTGGTACTATATAGGACCCTTTTTGCTAGGAGTGTAAAAGAAGCCTTTTCAAAAAGGTTCTATATAGAACCATATACATTCTCAATTAATCTGAAAAAATCATTTCACCATTCAAAGAACTTTAAGCATGCAAATGGTTCTTTGAGTGATTGTGTTTCTATAGAACTACTGTCTACACTAAAGAACCCTTGAACCATCTTTTTTAAGCATGCATGCCATTTAGCATGTAATTACTATGTAATTACATTTAAATATTCACATATAATTCAACTTTTAAACCATAGCATGAACACTAAACTCAGCCCTGCATCATCCAGGATCCCAGCCTATTTCAAATCCCCTATTACACGCCACTCCCTGCTTTTCACTCCCGGATACAGACTCTATGATCTTTAATTGTGTACTGTGAGTGGCACTCGGAGGGAGTCTCATTTGGAACAAGTGGCAGGATGAAACGGAATGGCTATGCAACTTCAAAAACTTCAAACTTTTGCACAGATACCTTGGGGAGAGTGCGGAAGCCTTTATCAGAGCAAACTTTAATGGACGGCTACCAAAGAGGGGAAGAGCAGAGTGACTTCAGCTTCACTCCCACTTAAAATGAAGCAGTGCTGCTTTCTGCTAGGGTGATGTCTGGCAAGCAATGCTGCAAAGGGACACTTTGTACTGCTTTACGGGGCAGCTGCCTGACTCCCACATTCAGATCAATACGTGATATTTTAGTGGATTTAATGCGTTAAGGGATTTTAATAATTTCCCATATTGAAATGGAAGTCATCTGAGTCTGAATGCTAATTCCTTTTATCGCAGTCACAAACGCGCAGCTCGTTGGTGCAGCTTCTGTAAACACAAACATACGAACAACATATTGATAAAACATCCTCAAAGCTGGAGAGAAACGCTGATGGGTCACGTTGCTTCCCCGATTAACCCCTCACTGTTCTCCGCTCTAAACACTCTGGCTGGAGCTACTTGCGTGCGTAAAAACGCGCCGTCCAATCCATGCGCACTGGCTCCAGTATAAAAAAAAGCCCCAACAAGCGGCAGCTCGCAGAGACGCTCGCTCTCACCTTGCTCAGCACACGCGCGCGCGGCTCTGCAGAAAGCTCGGAGGAGATGTTTTCCTTCAGCACGCGCTGGAAAAGGATCATCTGAGATCTCCATTCATCGCGCGCTGGAGCGAGTCGAAGGAAAAACCACGAGCCAAGCGCGATGGCGAGGCGCGACGCTCGGAGAGCGCGGAGGAGATGGAGAGTGTGCAAGTTCTCCGCGCGCTCGCTTTTGCATTAGTGCGAATGTGAGCGCGAGGGAGCGGACGGCGTGATGCAGCAGAGCCCGAGCGCCCAGCTCGCGGTCGTTGGACTCAACGGCAGCGTAGCGCTTAACAGGACTTTTAACCAGCTTAACCAGTCGTGGAGTGACCTCGCTGACCTGGACAGGAGCAGCTTCGTGGCGGACGGTTCTGCCGTGCTGCGGATCCTCATCTCCGTGGTGTACTCGGTGGTGTGCGCGCTCGGCTTGGTGGGCAACGTGCTCGTGCTCTACCTGATGAAGTCGCGGCGCGCGTGGAAGAAGTCCTCCATCAACCTGTTCGTGACCAGCCTGGCCGTGACGGACTTCCAGTTCGTGCTGACCCTTCCGTTCTGGGCCGTGGAGAACGCGCTGGACTTCGCGTGGCCCTTCGGCAAGGCCATGTGCAAGATCGTGTCCTACGTGACGGCGGCCAACATGTACGCAAGCGTCTTCTTCCTCACGGCCATGAGCGTGGCGCGCTACCGCGCCGTGGCCTCGGCGCTCGAGAGCCGGCGGCGGCGAGCGCGCGTGCGCGTGCCGGCGCGCTGCCTGAGCGCCGCCGTGTGGGCGAGCGCGAGCGCGGCCGCCCTGCCGCACGCGATCTTCTCCACCACGGCGGCCGTGAGCGGAGACGAGCTGTGCCTGCTGCGCTTTCCGGACCGCAGCGGCGACGCGCAGTTCTGGCTTGGCCTCTATCACGCGCAGAAAGTGCTGCTGGGCTTCCTCATCCCCTTCGCCATTATCTCCGTCTGCTACCTGCTGCTGCTGCGCTTCATCACCAGCAAGCACGCCAACAGCTCCGGCGCTAAGAGACGCTCCAAGGTCACCAAGTCCGTGACCATCGTGGTGCTGTCCTTCTTCTTGTGCTGGTTGCCCAACCAGGCGCTGACCGCCTGGGGCATCCTCATCAAGCTAAACGCGGTGCACTTCAGCTACGAGTACTACACCACGCAGGTGTACGTGTTCCCCGTCACCGTGTGCCTCGCGCACTCCAACAGCTGCCTCAACCCCATTCTGTACTGCCTGATGAGGAGAGAGTTCCGGAAGGCCTTGAAGAGGCTCTTCTGGCAGATCGCCTCCCCCACGGTGACCACCATGCGCCCCTTCACGGCATCCACGAAGCCCGAGCAGGAGGAGCAGGGGGGCGCGCTGGCCGTGCCACGCGCGCCCGAGCCCAGCCTCATCTTCTACCCGCCTGGAGTGGTCATTTATAACGGCAAGAATGACCTTCTACCCAACAGCACATAGACATTGTTAACAGTGAAGGTCTCCAAATGGTCCTAGGCTGGACGCTGGAGCTTTTATTGCTATAGAACCTTTATAAGAGGGTTCTTTTAACTTCAAGGGTTCTTCACACACATACACGTCTCATCTGCAGGAAAGGTTCATCCACTGAGAGTGAGAGCTCGTCACACAGGTGTTACCTTTCACAACCATGTTTATGTTACAGCGAACAGAATGTGACCTGGATGCGTTTTCATCAGTTGAGTTGAGGTCAATGCATGTAAATAAAAGAAAGCAGTAAACACATTGACTGTGATAAGCCTACGTCATGGGTCTTTGTGAAAACAAAAGTTCTAACTTCTGACTTGGTGCTAGAACAGCTTTAGAGGGCAGCGGTAATGTTTGCTTTTTGAGCTCAAGCTGTGTTTGTGCTCAGTAGGGATCTACTAAGCTAAAAAGGTAGACAGTTAACCAGCTGACTTCACCACTTTAGGCTTATACTAAGTTGCGTATAAAAATACAATTAATTTATATGATAATTAATCCTCAGCTAAAGTTTCATGATTGTGACAGGCCTGTCTGTGGCACCATTCCAAAGAACTCTGTTTGGCACCTTCATTTTTGGCAGCATATGTGCTCTGTGCCCATAGTATGTATTTATTTATTTATTTATTTGTTCATTTATTTATTTATTTATTTATGCAGCTATCCAGTTATCTGTTTTGCTGGACCTTTCAGTGGGCTGACTTAAAAGGGTCAGTGTCTGGTCAAGAACTGATTGATTGACTGACTGTGCATCTGGAATTGAAGGCAACTACCTGCTGCTTTGTTATTTAGTACTTAAGTCTTTAATGAGTCTTAGGAGGCAGCAGTGGTTTGTAAAATTGAAAAGAAAGCTGCCCACTCAGTCAGTAATCAGAGCCAGGAAGGCATGCCCCAATCCAGAGTCTGTATAAATTGCTGCCTGCTGTGGTGCCACCAGCTGGCTGATTTTGAAGGCAGCATACAGTAGATTTAGCATTCCATGGCCAAGATGTCCCATCCTGGGTGTCTGGTGAAAAATGGCAATCAGATGAAAATGGCAGTAAAGGAAGGTTTTATCCTAAGGACTAAGACTATTAAGTAGTCACTGAACATTTGCCATGATCTCCAGTGCAGTCTCTTAGCAACATTTTGCTTCTTTGTGACCCAGTGTCAAAGTAAACTGTTTTAGAAAGACCTTCGTGCAAAAAAGACCCGTGGGCAGGCAGGGCAAGCATTTTATGCCATCATTTATTCAGACATGACTTCTTGCCCTCTTGCTTTTGAGTACTGCCTCATTTTTCTCTTTTAGACAAACTGACTGACTGACTCTCGATTGTTTTATCACTACTGAACGTGGACACAAATGACTTGCTGCAATTAAGGACTACTGTCCTCACTAATCATTTAATCATATATGGGTCTGTGGACGAGACACACCCAGGAATGGCTATTTCTCCTAAGGTTAGCAGACAATGGACCTGATTGACCAATATCTTTCTAAGTTTTTTCTTAAATTTGTTCTTCAGAAAGGTCCTAAGAAAGTCTACATTGGATTCATGACGTGTTCTTAAATCGCAGAATTGTTCGCACCTTTTTGCTCTTGAGTGTGTGGGTTCTGTTCTTACCTAAGAACAAATCTCAAATAAGATAACACTGGTGAAAGTCAGAATCTTCGTGAAAACTGCGTAAGTGGGTTTAGAACAGTTGGTGAATGAGGCCCAATGATTTTACAGCCTGGCTGAATTTTTTAAAATGATTTTAAAAGTGTTTTCTGATGCAGACTGTCTCAGGTTCAGTCAGTGTATTGTATTTCTTTTGTTTTGTCTCTGTAATTCCACTGTTTACTGTACAGACTTTTATTTTATTTGAAGATCTTTTCAGTGATTATAATTACAGGGTGTAAATGTAGAGAGTGAGCAACTGAATTTTTAGACAAAGCCAAACAAATCAGCTCAAGGGATTCATTTATATTTCACAGACTGCACATCACAAATGTACAGTGTGTTTATTTGTAACAACTTGTCAGCATGTGGGCGTAATCAATGTGCTTTATTATGAACCAGACCTGAAGAACAATGCTTGCAATAAAATAACTGTATGTCAAAATCTAAACACATAAACACTTGTGTTATGAAAAAAGAACCCTCAAACCTACAAATCCTGAAATAAAGCAAGTATATTTAAAGGATTCACTTTTCTTATTCCACTGTTGCTGGCCTCCGTTCATCTCAGCTTCCCAGTCGATTTACACTTCTGATCGATCTCAAAGATTTGGATTTGCAAATGATCTTCTTCACATGGGAATCAACTCATACGGCAAGCCCAGCAGGGGCTAAACATGCATAATGACCTTTCTAGTTAATGAAATCCTTTTGGATTATGTGTAATTGCTAGCTCAGGCTCAGTAAATGCCGAGCCTGTTCTTTTATATATGGTACACGGTTCCGTTGCATGGGATTACTGAGTTCACCTGAAGAAAGTATGTGTGCCCAGCAGTTTGAAGCTGCGACCAGAGGAGTCCCAACCAAGAACTTCTGAAAATGGCTGTTCAGTGCATGAAACAGGCCACTGGATAGGTAGATGGTATGAAGATTGTGTGTTTATTTGGCAGTCTGACCAGGTTTAATCCACATGTCGTATGAAGACAGCGATGAAAAGGCAGCCGACAAGGGACATGGTTGAAGCGGAGAGGACCACCACTACTACACTGCCAGCCAGGTTGACCAGAGCACCAAGTCCAGCTCCCACTATAATCTGAGCTAGCTGCACCATGCAGGTGAGGGCAGCACAGTCCACTCCTGTGCCACGGCCCTGGACAGACGGGTCTTCTTTGCCCTGTTTTCTTTGATCCTGTAGCAGCAGAGCAAGATATTAGCATTTAGTGACACATTTAGGCATAAATGATGTGTTATTTTATTAATTACTCTCAGTCTGATGCACTATTTTGTTCATGGAGCTAAAGCAGAATCATCAGTTTGAAAATAAAATGCTCTTGTTATGGTTGCTTGGTATTTGCTCACCGGCTGTTTTATTAGAAACACCTAATTTTACGTCTTAATGAATCAGTTAAGGCCTAAAGAGTGAATCAGGTTGTCCAAACTTTTTTTTGCACATGCTACAATTACTTTTTTTATTTTTAAGTTAATCAAATAAGCAACTGTTTTCCATTCAAAAATCAACAAAATATGTAATTTGGTCAGGGATTCCCAAACTTTTGTATACAACTGTATCTTGTAAGGTCACCTTGCTGGTTTACAGTTATAGACTGTGGCCCATCTGTTGATCTGAACAATGTGTTAGCTTTTCTTTATCAGTGGTCAGTTTCAGACCACAAGGCTGCTCTTGGCTGGACATTTTTTAATTGGAGGTCCACTCTCAACCTTGCAGTGACACTGACAAGTGTAAAAAACACCAGCAATACCCCAATGCCTGATACACTCGTACCAGCACCACGCACATGCTACCATGTCATGTCAGTGTCCCTGTCGTCTGAGAATGTCCACTACCCAAATAATATCCGGTCAACCGCAGCCCTGTTGTCAGGAACTGACCCATGATGAATGGGGTAGCAGATGGCTGGCAAATTGCACATGACACAGAAGGGCTTCAGACCGTACATCTCTATAGCGGACGTTTAATGTAGGTGGACCTCAAAGTAGCCAGTGAGTGGAAAAACAAGGGAAGAGTTTCTAGTAAAGTTGATGAAGAGTTTTATATGATCATTAAACTGAAGGATTTCAAGAAGCATTACAAATAATACTTCAAATAAAAAGATAAAAATAATGTGAGCGGGACGTCCTGCACAGATGTCCTTAAGCAGCTCTCAGTGGCCTGCATAACCTTCCTTTCAGAGAGATGATTTTGAAGCTAATTAACATAATACATATTTGCTGTGGGCAGCAGCTGCTGACTGAGAAGAGGATGTATGAAGTATTTCATCCTGTGCAACAACAAAATCATAGACAGCTGCCACTTCAACAACAGGTCATATCTTTTAAAAAGTTTTTCTTTTTAAGCTTTTTTTTTTTTAGAAAAAAAAATAGTGTTGTTGTTTCAGCACAAACATAGAGAAAAAAAAAAAACAAATTTGATGTTGATGTTGCTCTTGACTTCTCAGTTTAAATCAGCACCTCAGGTGTTAATCAGTCCTGGGGGCTGATGGATTTGCAGACTGATTCTTCATTAACAGTCTTTCCAATTAATCCTGTAAAAAGTGCCACCACTGGCAAGAGGAAATCATTAAGTGTAAGGAAAGCAGAGAAGGCATCTACGTTAAACAGAATTATTTGGTAAATCAGAATAAGTGCCTTATTTTTTATGTACTCTGTTTAATTTGACAAGGAGTTTATAAAAATGTAGTAAGACTGAGTGAAGGAGGTCTCCCAGCTCACTGTGCACTGTGTCAGTACTCAATTAACAGTTCGAGGTGCCAGTAAACGAATACTGATTGTAACGTTTCATCACGGGAAGTCTGAGAAAATACACAGACGAGCAATTCAGTGAATTGCTCATTTTAACAGTGCAAGGTGAAAGTTTTACTCATATTTCACTAAATATATTGTAGGCCGCTTTTTGCTTCTATCACACCGACCTGTGTTTGAAGGATGAAGGGACAGAAAACTGTTAACACTGAAGTGGGGGAGCATGTGGCGTTTCACTTTTAATTACAGTTTAGTATATCAAGCAATGCTGTTCACTCGGCCAGGTCCCACCGACGGGCCCGAAGTTTTACTACACACTTCTATAACCTTACCTAAGATTAATTCAGCCAATTTGAAATGTAGTCCTTGTAGTTACTGAATAATTAGCCTTAGTATGTAATAAGGGACTTAAATACCACATTGGAATCTCTACCTGAAATAACTACCAGAATATTATCCAGTAAATAAAATATTATATTATGCTTTGCCACTCCTAAACGCAAATGTCTTAACGTGAGCATGTTGTCATGGACACATTGTTACAGACATCACTGAGAAGGCAGATACATTATAAAGCATGAGACTGACTACTGGTTGGAAAATGAATGAAAAAGCTTGTAACAATCAACAGGACGTCTTTTTATGGAGAAAGTCCTGTTATTAAATAAGAAGAACCAATTGGCTTGCTCGTAGAGCCGCAAGTGAGAAAAGTTACCCCTCATTGTGGAGATATGTGCATGCACAGTAGCCTGAACAGGATAAAGAAACCCATTTTATGTGTTATTTGAACCATACAGTGCCAACTGTTTATGCTGTATTTGTCAAATTTTACTAATGATTTAAAATATGGTTTTGAGACATTAGTTTAAGGTTTATATGTCTCTTTCCATTAAAATAAATAGGAGTCTGGTATGGCCTGAAATAACTGCCCCGGGAGCACTGCCAAGATGGCCATAGAGTGGACAGACTTTCCTATAAGGACTTCGGCAGAGGGGGGGCAACCTTTCTTGCTTAATATGCTAGAACAATGTTAGCTAGGTCCAAAACAGTTAAAATATATTTCTCTGACAAACTAACATGTTGGCATGTCATCCACTGAAGGGAAAAAAGACCTCTAAAAGGATCATGAGCGTCCATCAGCATCCAGTTTTGCATCTGTTGGCTGTAGTTTTAGCTGATTAGCTTATCTGAGGCAGCCTCTGTTATATTACTGAATCGACACAAAAACCTACAGATACAGCTGTTTTTGAATAATAAAACATGCTGTAACGGTGGAGGCAAGGAGGCGGGATGTAAATGCGAGTTGCTTTTATTGAAATTAGAGTCCAGAGTAGCAGAGGTTTGAAGAACGGATGAGTCCATGACAAAAACAAAACCGAACTACAAGAAGAAAGCAAATAAGAGACAAGAAAACATCCACGAGTACATCCACAATGCAAGCCAGAGACTGAACGAACACAGGGGTATAAATACACAGAGGGGAAACGAGAAACACCTGGGACTAATGAGGGGAGCAGCACAGACAGGTGGAACAGATAACAAGGGGGCAGGACCAGGGAGGAGATACAGAACAACAACAAAAGCACATGGCACAAGAAAACAAAAAGGCACATGGCTACAACAGAGGGGAAGAAAGACACTCTCAGAGGGACAAAAGGAGAATCCGTGACACATGCTTTGAAAAATATGACTCTGCATGATGCTATTTTCTGTGTGACACCAGTGCTCGTACCTAAAAAAGCCACAACTCTACAGTCATTTCAGCTGAACTTTGTTTCTTTCTATTTAGGCTTTTATTTACATCTCCATGAATATCCATACATGAACTCTTACAGATACTCAAATATCAAAATTAGTCAAAATGCACACCCCTAATATGGTCAGCTGAAGACCATTCACACAAGCGTCCATTCACATATATACTGATGGCTGAAGGACTCCACAAATCAGATGGTTCAGTTTACAAGTGCATTTCATTCTACACTGGTTCTCTGTCAGTATATGTGTCTTTAGTGATGAGAGATTTCACTAATGGTGCTTTTAATGCCAATAATTATATTTGACTGTCTTTTTTTCACTTAAAGTGAGTAAAATGACTGTTTAAATGTGAGCAGAAGCTTTCTCGGCGTTTGAGGGTGCTCCTGACAGATGACTATTACTGATGAAAGAAATGCCTTTCACATTAGCAGGCTCACTGCACTATCAGAGCAAGACGTTCCAGTGCTCTACCCACTAGAGGTCAAGGTTTCACATTATTACAAAGCCGATGTTCTCTTTCATGTTATTTCATTCTGCACTATGAAAAACTCAGGGACTGATTACTTTTAATTATACTGCATCTTATAAAGTTCTTTGAGTAATATCATGAGTAAAATGAGTCAATCCCCGTCACTGACACACATATCAGAACACATTAAGAAACTCATTTGCCTCTCAAAAGAAACAGTGACAATTCCCAGAAGAATACGCTCTTTTATCCTAGAGTGAATAAGACTGAGCAGATTGAGCTCTTTGTTCCAAGCACGCATGGATACTGACCTCTTCCTGCTTGTGGTATTCTGAGATGAGGTTGAATGGGATGGTGTAAAGGGTGCTGGACATCACGCCAAAGACGCTACACAGAGACAGGGTGGAGATGATGTTGGGATACAGGCCGATCAGACTGGTACCCAGTCCAAACACAAAGTAGCCCATAAAGTAGAGTCCCTTCAGGCCAATGTAGGGTAACATCAGTCTCTGCACATCTGTATGCACATGAAACACATTGTGTAACAATAATGCTTTTTTGTGTAATATCTAAAAAAGGTAAATAAGATGCATAATACACCTCTGTTTGGGTTTGAGTTTTGTAGTCGGAAAATGTATGTCCAAAGGAAGATTCCATATTTTTGTCTGTAAGTTTACAAAAACCACCCCTATCACATCTTGTGGTAAACAAAAATGTTCCAAAGTCAATGCATTTGGTCAATACTTTTTACAGTACGGTACTTAGCAAAATTAAGAGACAATCAGTACATTAAGAACAAGTTGTTCCTTTTCATAAATAAAAGCAGACTACATATTTTTAACAAAAAATTACACAGAAGCCTCAAGAACTAAATATAATATCACATTTCTCAGTATTAACATGTCCACTCTTTGCCATTTTTGCAGGTTCTTCTCTTTTTAAGAGACTTGCTCTCAGTTTTTCTGAAAGAAGAAATCTGCAGGGATATTTTTCCACACTTCCAAAGTCCAGTCTCAGAAGCTGGTTGCATTTTCTGCTTCTCATGATCCAAATAATCCCAAACATATTCTGTGATGTTGAGGTCTAGGGTGGACAGGCCATTGTTCTGAGAACACCAGCAGCTTTCTCGTTTGATTTGCAAATTTTCTTCTTTTTTCTTCTTTTTTTTTATCTATTTCACACACACAGGTACTGACGTCTTCCTGCTACACCATTCTACACCTGCTACAAGCCAGCACTTATGCACTGAACACACTTATGCATTGAATTAACACCATAAAGTTTCAGAAAAAATTATTATTACTATGCACTACTTCAACATCACTGCAGCATTATATCAACTTCAACATTGCATCAAGTTGCACTCAAATTCTAGGCTTGTTCTGCCAAATTCACTTGTTATCTTTTGTTCACAATCAGGTTATAATAAAAATATTTTTAATTTTGAGGATGCACTCTGTAATTAAAAGTAGTAGCAATACAGTCATGAGAAAATACGCGTTAAAATATGGCAGCCATATGCAGCAGTGAGTCTCTCTGTAAAGCCTTATATAATCATTTAAAAGTTATAGGTGTTGGGTTGTATTTCGCAGGAGTTTTTGGACCATGTCATACGTCTTAACGTTTTAACGTCACATGCAGAGACTCAAGAAGAAGGTCTAGCTCAATGTTTAGGACGCAAATGCAAAATCTGCATGATACTGGTGAAGATATGATGACAATAGTAGATAATTCACTCACATCCTTAGAAGGGATGTAGTTTTGAGTTCTCTTTCAATACTCTTTCAGATTGCAAGCAATCATTAGATTCATCCACTCATTGAAGGGGTCTGACGCACAACCAGTGTTACAAAATGTTCTTCCGCATGTTGCATGCAATTACACCGGAGAGGAAATCCCCAAAATGTGCATAGCATAGCTTTAATAAGAATTCCACAGAGATTCACTTTTTATGCATGATTTTGAACCTCATTCCATAGAGCATGGTTTTTCTACTCCACCCCTAAGGACCCACTGCCCTGAGCAATTTCAGGTTGTTCCTGCTCTAAGACACCTGGTCCAACTCATCAGCTAATTATCACGCCCTTCATGAGTTTGATTAGAGCAGAGAATACTTGACACTCTGCAGGGCAGTGGGTCCCCAGGACTGGAACTGAAAACCGCTAGAGCTTCTTCATTATAAATGCTATACCACTACTAGTAACACATTTGTGTTTTGAAATCACTGCTATTTTTTTATTTGTTTACTTATTTATTTTAATCATGCCAAAGTCATGTGACTACCACACTTTAAAAAGAATGCTGATTTGCATGGGATATTTTGGTAAGATTGCCAATTTTTATTATGTCAACTAAATGCTTGCATATAGCACATACTGTATGCAGCAATGTTGCAATTTTGAATATTTAACGACCTTGTAATTCTAATTACATAGTGATAAGTTGGGGAGAAAATGATGTAGGACAACACATACATACATGGACAGTCATCTGAGATTTGTTGAAGAACTTATTTGTTAACCACAGAGTGTGATGGGGTGATTAATTTTTCTCATAGACAAAAATGGCTTAGATCCAAGGCTCATTGAGATGCTAACAGCGAACTACAACATGGCAAAATGTCCTTTGAGGTCTATGGATCAGGGTTACAGAGACAGGTTAAGGTTATCCTGGAACTGAATTAAAGGGTCAGTATAGATTCTCTACTGATAGGCCTGTAGATGGAAACCTGAGCCAGCTCTCAAAATAGCCCTCTGCAATCTGCTCTTTAGTAATAAATAATAAGTGTGAGTCTCCTCTCAGCCATTTTGATTAATGCTCTCATTTTTATAATAGCCAGCTTTTCATTTTCTTATCACTACAGAATGGGTATTCTCTAACTATAGGTGCTCATTCATACTTACTATGGACTCATTGTGAAAGAGGATTTCTAATAAGGCAGGAGGATAATTCACACAAGTCACTGTGCAGTAATACTCACAGGAATAGAGAGCAGAGGACACAGCATTGATGCAGAGTCCCCAGCAGCCCACCTCTACCCCCCTCTCATAGGTGGCATAAGCAGTGGTGTTATGAGGAGCATATGGGTTCCCCTTATACACAATCTGGAGGAAGCAACCATAAAAAAAAAAAAGCTGAAACAAGCCATCAGAAATGCAGGAAACATATTTGTCATTCCATAAAGGACATACAAACAACAAGTGACAGCAGGAGTGAATGCTGGGTAAACAGGTATGAACCTATCAACGGGAGACCCAGCAGTGATAACGCAATCAGACAGTTTACTCACCGCCGAAGCGTATAGCTCTTTGATTTGGCCCCTGCAAGGTGAAAAAGGACTGCTGGGCTAGGCATCTGATAATAGCTTACACATCACCCACTCTGCTGAGAGCAGCATGGGTTGTTTTCGTGTCTCTGATGCACCACTGAGAGCTTTTAAGCCGAAATCCTTGCTCCCCACCAACAAACTGCGGTCACATTCTCACAGACTATAGCAAAACAGTACACAGTGTGTCTCAAGTTCTTGAGAAACAGGATGTTTTGGATGGAAGTCCTTCATCATCTGTGCGAGCAAAGTGCCTCTAGGAGGTGAATCAGTTGATGTTCAGATTTTGAGATGCTTAAAACAGAACATGTGTTCATTGCAAAGTTCCAATATGTAGATGAGCTTCCTCTTTCTTTAGTTTCTTGACTTCATTGCTGCCATAGCAACAAACCACAATATTAACCGTGGTGTCCATCTTATGTTCATGACAGTTAAAGTGTCTATAGATGATAGAAATGAAGTGACCCTGAAAATTCAAAGGTGCACAACAACACAATCCACAGATCTTCTTTTTCCATTGAAGAGTTAATTACATCTCAGGCAGGAGGTGAAGAATAATGGATGATGAAAATGTTTGACAAGTTATGGCCTGTATGTGTAGTAGCTTTGTTAAAGAAACTGGCATTACTACATTTTAATTGGTTACATGCCAATACATCATAAATGTTCTTTGTCAAACAATGTATTATTATTTACCTACTGATATTTGTTGCCATGGCAGCAGCAATATTGGAAACTAGAGGAAAAGGAAAGCTCATCTCCATATTTAGAACTTTGAAGCTCCTTGCATTGAATATTCTTCTTTTAATTTGAATATCGACTGGTTCACCTCCTACAGCTTCAGAAGCCCTTTTGCTTATATGAAAGTTTTCCAAACAAAACATTCTGTTTCTCAGACACTTTATGTACCATGCCATGCTTCTCCCAACATGTATGCATCTGCATTTATAACCAAGTCCACTACAGTAACTCCTAGCCACACACCATCACTTTGAACTATGCGCTGACCATAAAGAGGCAAAAGTGATCATTTTGATGTGTCTGCAGAGCTGATGAGGTCAGGAATTCTGGTCGGTTTCTTCATATCCAGTCCCCACTACATGGTTTATGATTGTCTGTGTCCAAGACTGTGTTCAAAATCTGGAGTTACTGATGAACCCACTACTGAAGAGCACTGGTGGACAAACTGTCAGCCATCTCAAGGATTCATCGCTTAATTAAATTCATCAACATGCTACTTTCATCACTCTACCATCTGCCTAAGTTTAACGTCAATCAGGGCAGCAGTGCATAAAGCCTACACTTAACAACATCAGAGTAATTTGTTTTTCAGTGTGCCTCAACAAATTAATGATGTACCTTTACTGCTGATAAAATTATTCAGAAGGGCTAATTAATAGAATGAATAGCATGCCATAACCCTTCAACGAAGTACTGGTATGTGTGAGTAAAGAGTATCTAATGGACTCATTCCACATCATATTGAGAAGAATCAGGTTTATTAAAATGTAAGTTGTGTCATGCAATGGTATAACATAAACTACAGTTCTTATTTCCTTCTAATTTCACATACAAAGTTTAAATTACCGTCAGCACGTGAGGATGGATGAACGTGAGCTCTCACTAACCTGCCCCATAAAGTCAGTGAAGAAGAGCATGTTGCAAAGGAAAGCAGTCCAGCCCAGCAGGTGACTCACACACAGGCAACGGTAATGGCTGGGCATGTTAATCATGGCCGACAATAAAGATTTTAAAGTCATTCTCTTCTGTACCTGCAGTGCACACAAACAAAAAAGCAAAAAGAAAAACAAAAAGATTAAAACTTCTTAAGAAGATTACTCAAGAAGATTACTAACACATACACTGGCAAAGCTATTAGCAAAGGAACTCCAGTCAGAGAAGTAAATTAGGGATACACTATGATTGGAATTATACAGTTATCAGCAGATATTCATTCAAAAAGGAAATCAGCCTTGGACATACGTTTAGATTTCAAACTGATATTAGATGAGGTATTAATTTTACTCCAGAACATTTAGGATAAACTGGGCTACTGTGCTAAAGCACTGGCATTTTACTCATTTTACTGCATTTGTAACAAAACACCCTACAAATAAGTGTTACATTACATGCTAATTCTAATTTCTACATTTTATAAATGTTTATGTATTGGCATTGGCAGATATGTGCATGCAAAATATTGGCTATCGGGCCCACAGTTCCCTTATCTGTGCATCCCTGAAGTACATCTGTACTCTGAGTAAGGGTGGACAAAATAGAATAACAGTTATTATATGCTAGATTATATGATAGTTATTATATACAGGCTCTCTAGAATTGATCTAAAGTTGTCTTTTCTATGCATGTAGCTGTGCAGTGTTATACTCAGAAAAGCATGTCCTTGATGTAATTTACCATAATAATGGTAACACATCATCATATTGCCCACCCTGACCTCTGACGCCTTTGTGTCCAGCTGTGAATTAAAAAGCTACTCTAAAATCACAAAAAAAAGAAAAGTATTATTTACATTGCAATTTTACAAAATTCCACTCTAGCTTAAATGACCAATGTTCTCTAGTGACGGCACAGATGATACAGCTGGGCAGGCACAAATGTGTTGGCTTACAGATGTAATTATTAAAGGTTCTGTGGAACCATTAAGAAATGAGTACATTTATTTAAACCAAAGAGTGCTGCAAGCTGTGATAAATAAAGCCGAGGAAGCATCCGTTCTCAGTTCATTACCACGGATCTTCATGGTTTCTTTCACCCCCTCAAATCTTTAAAGATTCAAATCCAATGAGGCAGAAATGATGGAGCCCTGTCCAAACCAATTATCTGGTCACGCGAGCAGAGGAAGATGCCTAAAAAGAAGAAGCCCTCATTATTTGGAGAGATAACTGAGAGAGAATACCATAGAATATTCTCAGACCTCTCTCATCATGTTTGACCTGCTTACCACCTGTTTCCCTTAAGATCTGATGTATTATTCATGCTCTCTATATCAAGGAATATGAAAATGCTCCTCTCTAACCAGGAATCCTAATGCATGGCCATGACTTACTAAGGCATGGGAACAAGATACTTCAAGAGAAACTCCACCTGTTTTTCAAAATGTCTGCATTCAGAAATTCAGATTCAATCCTTGAGATGTAAACCAAGTAATTCAGAGTGGTTTGATGCAAAATGCTGCATTGTAGAGAAATTCACTGACTTGGATTTATTTATAGTGGTGTTGATGGGAACCAGGCTGTGATGTCTACAACACAAACACAGCTACAGGGAGATTCACTCGAAAGAGACCCCGAATATTCTGTAAGAACTCTCGCTAGGACGAATCAATCTGAACGAAACAATGTGCAATGTGCTCCTCAGTATATAGAGCTTTGAACAAGCTGGGATGCCCCTGCGTTGGAGCAATGAGGTAGGCGCCAGACAGCCAACGCAACGTTTAACCTCCGTTTGCAACTTCCGGGTGCATATCCCCATACCCCTTCATGTGTCTGGCAGAAAACGGAGATCACTTCCAGCATCGCATGTAATGCAATCAATTATGCATACATCAAGGTATGTAGTGTATTTCTTTGGTTCAGACTGCTTCACCCTAAAGGAAGTTACAACAGAATATTCAGGGCCTCTTTCGAGTGAATCGCCCTGTATTTTATCAACTTATCTAAACAACCAGTAACCTACAGGTGACTTCAGAATTTTTAGCTCTGTAAACACATGTTGATTACTGTGGATTATCGTTAACCTGTGAGAGCTAAGCAGCCATGGACAGATTATATTACAGGTGGCTATCCTCAGGGTCCAAGCAAAACATGTTTATAAAGCCAATATAGGCTTTTTAACTCATAGAACACAAATAATAAGTTTTTAGATTAGCCTTTGTTTATAGTAATAGCTGAGGGAGCTCCTCAAAAGATGACTGCCACATTTTGTACACACTGACTTTTCATGTTAATTTTTTTTCCTGAGGAGCCAAGTCTCTAAACCCTCCTTTAGGAGGTCAATTTCTTATTTTGCCAACTTTTTCCACTGCTTTGAATTTGTATTGCAGAAAAGTAACTGTGGCCTCAATAACCTCCCAAATTTTAAAAATCATAGAACCACCTCCAATACACACAAGTGAGATGTTGCATATGGAGTACATCATTTGACACATATCTCTAATGCTGTTATTTTTCTAGAACCATGTTTCACTGCTTCACAATGAGTGTCACCTAATCTGAAATAAAATGTCCCATCATGCAAGAAGAAGCAAGGCCAGCACTCAACTAATATGAATATACATTGCCTCATCTATGAAATATGACAGCCTTGGGACAATAACTGCATTGGGGTCAGTTACTTAGTTAGATGACTGAGGGTGTGTGAGTGTTTACACATAATGTATTCATGTATTCAGGCAACAGCACATTTCTAATTTGTATGGGATCTGGAGGTGTATGTGTTTTGCCAGGTGAAGCCTTGAAGACATCCTTGATGGCTTGTCCTATGCTAAAAATGATGGACTCATGTTGGTTGTGATGATAGTTGTGTTTCCTTTGTCCTGGCCTGAAGAATGCCATTAAATCACTATAAACCTAATCACCCATGAAGCACTGCAGATGGCTGAAGGTTCAACCCATTTCTTTCCAGTGCAGTATTCAGGCACTGGTGTATACCATCTTTACTGTATCCTCTCTGTTTATTCAAAGTGTTGTATTAGAATACGGTTAAAGCTGTCTTGTGAAGATGAAGAGATGTTTCTAGAGCCATAGAAGAGCTCTTGTGGCAGGAACAGAAGGTCTATTGTGTGAGGTAGGCAGGCAGTAAATCATTGAAGGACTCAGAGAAAGAGTGCTGAATAACAGGATTGCTGCAAAATGCCAGATTATTCAGTCTAAAACCATACACTTCATGAATAAGGTAGCATTAAAAAAGACACTAACAGTAACAGAAAATTTGGCAACAAAAAAAGGGAGCACTGCACTGAACAGGTGAAAGAATTCATAATTTCAACAGGTACTGAGCATTCTACCAGTGTTTGAACTGTTACTGCCGAGCATGATATCACTCCACAATAACTTGAGGCTAGGTCCTGAATTCTTGGAGAGCTTTCCGAAGCTGCATCAATGCACAAGCAGCAACATTTCATATGACTCACTGGCATGACAAATTCCAAGCTTAAGAGGCATGGCTGTGGTTACGTCAAGAGCGCGTCTGATTTTTGTAATTCAGGCAGAAGGCTGTCCAGTGAAGCAGATCCCTGCAATTATACATATTTCTACAGAGGAAAACAACTTTGAAAAAGGACGAAGTACAATTTATTCCATTTACACTCTTCTCATGTTGTACAAGAAGCACACTAATGACAGGTTAGAGCGTGGATCCTGTCTGCAATTACTCTCCCGCCTCCTGAACCCATGCAATGGCTTATAACAAAAAGGAACTTGTTTATAGTATGACTGTAATGAGTCAGTATTACAAAATTGTATGCTTCATTCTCATTGCACTCCAAATTAGGTATGACTAAGTGAGACCAAACAAGCCATCTAATGGCAAATCATAAATAACAGACACCAGCAAAAAGAAGAAATTGCACAAATGAGGGGGAAAACAAGGGGGGACTGTTGAAGGACAAATTGTGCAGCAAGAATAAACATACAGGTAGAAAGGGATTGGGGTGAGTATAGAAGCTGACAGGAAAAGAACAAGGTGGACCACATAACTGACCTCTTTGCTGGGCTGCTTGGCACTGGATGTGACGGCATTGGCCTCGCTGAGGGCAGAGAAGGAGCGAGGTCGGAGCTCAGGTGTGGGCACCGGCTCCTTGGACAAGGCCCCGTAGCCAGTGCCATTAGAGGCCACGATCAGAGGAGCTGTGGGGGCTGAAGGTTCGGACGTGAGCTGCTTGCTCAGAGGCTTCTCGGGTATACTGAAGAGATGTACGGTGAGGAAGAAGCTCCAGGTCAGCGCTGAGAAGAAATAGATCACCTGGTATTCGGAGCCCAGCAAGACACCGAGAGCAGAGTGACCCCAGTCCATCGCACCAATCAGGTAACCACATGCGCCACCCAGACCTGTAACATGATACAGGCTTTCAAAGACCACACAGAAGCAGAGCATAGACATGCTGAGGGCTTGTATACCTTTGGCACTGATGTAAAAAAGAAACCACTGAGATGCTCTCAGAAATTATTTAGTCGCTGTCCAAAGAAAACCATGTATCTCCATTTTTATTGATTTTTATTTCCCTTCATCATTTCAACACACCAACTGTTCTGTACAGTGTGTGAGAATTTCATGATTAATGGACCAATACAAAATGCTCTGAAATCAGTTGGAATAAAATCTCTTTACATTAACTTACATTAAAATGTAAGAGTGTTTTTGCCCACTCTTGTAAAGTGACTATTTCGGAGATACTTGCTGTTATTTGGACTACAACGATTTAAAGAATCTGGACAGGCAAACAGAACGAAGAAAGAGCCGACCCTTTGATCATACATTAAAGTCGGTTTTATGGGCTGTTCTGGTTACTGGAAATGTATAGATTTCACACAGCAAGGAACATTATTGATGTAAACTTAAGAAGAAAGGCTCCTAAATGTTTTTTGGCTTAGATACACAGTTCCAAGAAAAAGCTTACATGAAGTGGAAAAAAAGGTTCTGCACACTTACACATCTTTTGAATAACCATCCAATGAAAAGTTCTTTAGGGAACCAAAAGCTGTATTTCTATAGCAACTCTCCAAAGAACTCTTTCTGGCACCTTTATTTTTAAGAGTGTAGAGCCCGTGAATAAGACAGAGATCACCCTTCATTTGTTTTATTTCCAAGCAAAACGGTCATTAAACAAAAGTAATCTATTTTAGGAGACAATTTTGAGAAGATTAGGTATAGGATAATTCACTTGCATGAAGATCTTTCTTTGGGAAAACATTCAAACATTACTATATGATACAGAGAAAATGGAACTTCTAACAATATTGCAAGACCACCAAAACTGTCACCATCAGATAAACAGTACTTAAAGCTGTCATCTTTGAAAATCCACAGGTGTTTCTGTCCATCCTTCCACTGTGAGAAGACAACTCAATGTTAAATCAAACAAAGAAGATGCTGGTGTTCTCAGAACAATGGACTGACCACCTCAGAGTCCAGACTCCAACACCACTGAATACGTGTGAGATTACTAGGTCAGAAGCAGAAAATGCAACCAACTGCTAAGACTGACCTTCGGAGGGGTGGAAAATATCCCTGCATATATCACTGCAATTGAAGATGTAATAAAATAAAGAGTGGACACATAACAAAAACTAGAAAATTTGATATTTTTCAAGTTTTCAAGGCTTATGTGTAATTTTCTGCTAAATATATACTTTATGTTTTTTGTTGATATGGAAAAAATAATAACACATACTTACTTTTTGACTGGAAATTAAATAAATGAAATGTTGTCTCTGAGTTTTACCCAATACTGTATATTAATTGTACACTATATGGACAAAAGTCCTGGGGCACCACACCTACAATACACCTACAGGACCTTTTATGACATCCCATTCTAAATCCACAGGCATTAATATGGAGTTGGTCCCCCTTAGCAGCTGTAACAGCTTCCACTCTTCTGGGAAGGCTTTTAACAAAATTTTGGAGAGTGTCTGTGGGAATTATTGCCATTTAGAAGAACATTTGTGAGGTCAGACACTGATGTTGGACGAGAGGGCCTGGCTCGCAGTCTCCATTCTAGTTCATCTCAAATATGTTCGATGGGGTTGAGGTCAGGGCTGTGAGGTCCAGTCAAGTTCTTCTACACCAAACTCATCCTGCCATGTCTTTATGGACTTTGCTTTGCGCACTGGGGCTCAATCATGCTGGAACAGAAAATGGCCTTCCCCAAACTGTTCCCACAAAGTTGGAAGCATACAATTGTCCAAAATGTCATAGTATGCTGAAGTATTAAGGCTTCCCTGCACCGGAACGAAGGGGCTTGGACCAACCTCTGAAAAACAACCCTATAGCATTATCCCTCCTCCACCAAACTTTACAGCTGGCACAAGCGGTCAGGCAGGTAATGTTCTCCTGGCATTCGCCAAACCCAGACATGTCCATCAGGCTGACAGATAGAGAAGGATGATTTGTCACTCCACAGAATGCGTTTCCACTGCTCCAGAGTCCAGTGGCAGCGTGCTTTACACTCCAATGCTTGGAATAGTGCATTTTTATCTCAGACTTGTGTGTAGCTGCTTGGCCATTGAAATCCATGTTGTGAAGCTCTATAACATACAGTTGTTCTGCTAATATTGTTTCCAAAGGCAATTCGGAACTTTTTAGTGAGTGATTCAACAAAGGATAGGCACTTGGCGGCCCCACTCAGTGAGTTTGCGTGGTCTACCAATTCATGGCTGAGCTGTTGTTACTCCTATGTGCTTCCATTTCAAAATAATAGCACTTACATTTGACAGGGGCAGATCTAGCAGGACAGAAATTTCACAAACTAACTTGTGGCAGAGGTGGCATCCAATGACAGTGCCATGTTTGAAGTCAATACGCTCATCAGTACGACCCATCCTACTGCCAGTGTTTGTCTATCGAGACTGCAAGGCTGTGTGCTTAATTTTATCCTCCTGTTAGCAATGGGTGTGGTTGAAACACCAGAACTCAATACTTTTGTCTATATTATAGTGTATGTTAGTAAAACAAGAGGCAGCTAACTATTATACTTGGCACTATAGGGCATTATGTCCAAGTCCAACCTAACTAAATGCGCAGGTTCTCAGCAGTCCCTCAAGCCTAGCAGAACATGCAAACATCAATCATCCTTGACCTGCAACTGATGTAACTCTGAGAAAATGTTTTTGAGAGCAAAACTGTTGTTTCCTCTTAAAGACAGGATTTCAGAACAACAAAGCTGTAGCCTCAGAACGGAATTCTCCAAACAGCCGAAGAAAGCTGTTGGGAGTCTGTAGAAGTTTATAGAGTGAGTTTTAAATGTAACGACAAACAGTCAGTGACAAAGAAGAACATGCTGAAAGTCTAAACAGCCTATCACAGATATGTAAACACTGTCCAAAACCCTCCTAGACCCTCACATTGGTTGGTGAAAGATGAAGTTTGCAAATGTGGAATTGAACGGTTGTCAACTTCAACCATGAAAACAGCTTTACAAGTCCTTTATTGCTGTTTTAGGTTATGGCCTTGTAGATAGAGTCTACGTTACGTTTGTAAGAGTTCATTTAAATCCTGGAATTCTTATCTGAAACTAAAATATACATTAATTGTGCAGAGAATGACTTCAGATTACATCATCATACACTTTCTTGAGCCAAGATATTTAACAGAATATTTATTTTTTCACACAGAAACCATCACAAGAACCAATTTCATCACTTTCAGTGGCATATTTTATGAATCTCAAACTGACTTTCACTAGTATAATTGATAAAGCTCAAGCTGACTTTCACTAGTATAATTGATAAACCTCAAGCTGACTTTCAGTGGTGTGATTGAGCAAGCTGTGCATTTGGAGAATCTTTTATGTGATATTCCTCTGCCTCACTCTTCAGTTATAACCTCACCAGTTGATCAATGATGAAATCACACAGGCAAAGTCTTGCACCATATTAAAACTTGGAAATGTAGCACACATTAATAAAGGTTAAAGATGTAATTTAACTTCAAGAAAAGTCTTAAAGTGGTAATCTATAAATTTTTCAAAATGTCTGTAGAATTAAATTGGTCAGATGTAAACAATGCCATTCAGCGTGGTTTGGTGCGAAATGCTCCATCATAGAGAAAACTACAGTCAGAATTGTTCACAGTGGTGGTGGTGGTGATGTTCAGTGTTTCAAAAGTTACTTAGTTGTTACATGAGATGGTACGGATACACTGGCTGATGTCTGAGACAATATTCCACAATAGTTTTGAGATAAAAATTTTGGGCTCAAATTTTTTTTTGGTTTTTTTTTATCAGTTCACGTTAGGCCAAACAAAACCCAAAAGAAAACTTACTATTATATCATCATCATCACTGAATATAAAAGCTCAGAAGACACAGGTTCACTGGTAATCTACCACCACTGTAAAGAAATCTAAATGGGTAGATTTCTCTACAGTTTACAACTGAAGTACTGAAATTAAGAAAAACTGTGTTTTAAAAACTGCTCCAAACTGATTCTCAAAAAAACGCTCCTACATGTGAATGTGTCTGTGTGATTTCTTTTCTGCTGTGCTTATAAAATGTACTTCATGTATGCAAACATAAAGCTTCTACTAGGAAACATCACCAATATTAAACCTTTGAAATGACTATCACATTCTGACCTTTACAATCTCATAATGTGCATGAGATAGCAATAAGACAGAAACCAAACAATCCACACACACGCACGCATACACGCACGCATACACACACACAGCCTCGAGCTGCTGGATCATGTGCCTGTGCTGCTCTCAGCCTCAACCCATGATCCCAGCACATGACTGAGCCTGGGCTGGATTAGAACCCACTGAGCACGCTCACACCAACCTGTGCCTGCTTCCTGTACAGCCACGCTCACAGGCTGTTCTACACTAATCATCACTACCAGTTTAAACGCTTAAACTGCAGCAAATATGACATTTAGTGATTACATGCACTCTTTAAAATGAAGGTGCTAAAAGGGTTCTTTGAAGCAGTGCCATAGAAGCACCACATGTGGCTTCCTAAAAACCCTTGTGTGGAGGGATACTGCCTTTTTCAACCTAATGTCCTTCTGCTGCCTCTGTAGTGTACGGTCAGTTATCACAGACAATAATTTAGATGCCTTCTCCTATATTTAGTATAAGAACAGAAAACAGAGGGATAGGATTGAAGCCAGCAGGCAGTCAATAGCCAATAGTACTAGTAGCACTAGTAGTAATAGAGATCGGTACCATTGGATATCGGTATCAGATTGATATCAGCAGAAAATGCTGGATCAGATATCAGAAGGAAGAAAGGAATTAATCTGATCAAATCCTGTAACAAATCTGCCCTGGAATATCACACACACTGTATTTCCTTCTGTGGGCTAGTTGAGTGTTTGAGTACTTTGATCATGATTATAATCCCAATCATCACTCTACTTTTCAATGATCCTCTTAAAGGGGAATTCCACCAATTTTGAAAAACTTCTGCATAATGACATGGTTAAGATGTAAACAAAGTCATTCAGGGGTTGATGTGAAATGAGCCATATTAGAGAAACTTACTGAGCCAGAATTATTCACAGTGGTAGTGATAGGAACCAGATGTCTATGATACCTCTGAAAAAATACTTCACAAAAATTATTATATGAAATAGTTACAAATATGCTGTCTGATGTCTGAGACATTGTTTTACGGTTTACGTTTGATATAAACTTTAGACCAAAAGATATTTCTATTTGTTTTTAATCCAGTGGCGGAGAGGTAAATGCGCAACATACTCAAAACTTTTTGGATATTAAATAAAAAGGCTTTATTTGTGTTGTAGATATTGCAACCCTTGGGTCTGATTACCACTGCTGTAAAGAAAATCGAGCTGGTAAGTTTCTCTACAATGTACTACTTCACATCAAACCACTCTGAATGCCTTTGTTTACATCTCAAGCACTGAATTATGCAGATATTTAAAAAAAAAATCAGTGCAATTATCCTTTAAATGAAGTGCTTACAAAAAAAAAAAGCTCACTTAAAGCTCAGTAGATTTAAAGGAGAAATATCAGATCGGTATCTGTCGATACTCAAGGTTTCAAGATCAGTATCAGAATCAAAAAAGAAAAGTGACATTGTACCATCTGTACAATGTAGTAACAAGGAAACATGTAGGTTTAAAGTATTCCTAAGTGTTCTTTAATAACCAAAGGCAGCTGTTCTACACCCGTAAAAAAGCAGTTCTACAAGGGTTCTTTAACAAAAGCAACAGTTATATACAGAACTATGACAACTTAAAGAACCACAGAAAAAGTTTTTCTCATTGTTAAAAGGTTATTTTCCATGATGGAGAACCTGTTATCTTTAAAAAACTAAAAAAAAAGGTTCTATGTAGCAACAAAAAGGGTTCTGCTGTTGTTACAAGTCAAAAAACCTTTTTTTTGGTACAAGACAACCTTAAAAAGTGGTTCTTCAAGGGTTCTTTAGTAAAGGCAAGCAATTTTATACACAACCATGGTGAAATGGTGCATTATTAAAAAGTTCTTCTTCATGATGAAAACCTGTTGTATATGTTCTTTAAAGAACTTTTTAAAAGTTGGTTCCATATAGCACCAAAAAGGGTTGTGCTATTTTTTACAAATCAAAGAACCCTTCTCTGGCACAAGACACCTTTAAAAAAGTGGTTCTTCAATGGTTCTATAGCAAAGTTTTATACAGACAATACAACTTGAAGAACGATTTGAATGCTTAAATATTTCTCTTCATTGGTAAAAGGTTCTACTGCATGATGTGTATGGTTCTTCTTCTTCTTCATTATAAATGGTATACAGCACCAAAAAGGGTTCTGTTGTTACAAGTCAAGGCATTTTTCCTTGGTACTATATACAAACTTTTTTTGTGAATGTTTTCACTCCACAGAACCCTTTTAGCACGTTTATTTCTGAGAGTGTAGTTAGAGCTGGTTGTCACCATCTGTTTACGTGGCTTCTATTAAGTCTGTTATTTTCCTGCACTCTAAAAGTTTTACACTCCATCATGCCTCATTCCACAGTCCAGTTTCAGCACTATAAATACCAGCACACAAGCCCCACTTACGAGTTCAATTGTCACCTGAGCTAATTTCTGGATTCTTGCAATTAATGAATCTTCTAAGTAATATTTTTTTCTCTGTGTTTACTTGTTTTTGCTCTGTTACATCTAGTGTGAGTTCATCACCCAAACGTTTATCTATTTTTAAGAGAGCCGCTGTCTGGAAATGATGAAATGCTGAGAAACCAGGCCTCCGGTTTGAACTCCTGCATGTAAACTGCACTGGAAGTTGTGATTTAAGGAAAAAAGGCAGGTGCTTCCTGCACATGGCTTCAAAACCTCCTGGCTGATGTTAACGCTGCGAAATCCCACTAGAGTCTCTGCTGCTGCCGTTCACATGGTGGGCTGCTAGGATTGGTTACGTCAGCAAGATGGCATGGGCAGCCAGCACATGGCAACTTGCGCACTATTTTACTGGCAGAGGAACGTGGAATAGGCTGCTGCCACAGCGCTCTGCAATTTTACACTACAGCCCAAGATTCAATCACTAATCTGCTGCAAAATCCTCAAAAGCAATCTGGAAATAAGGCTTTGCCTCACATTTTGAAAGGGATAAGAAATAAACCTGCAATGCAAAATTTCTCCAGCTGCTCTTCCTAAAAGAGCTGCATGAAATGTTAAATTCTGTGACAGTGGGAGGTCGAAGGAGAAGAAGTAACAGAATTACTATGTGATGACTAAATACATAAATCGCTGCTGTTGGACAAAACCTCATATCATCATTTTTGCTATTTTTCATTTTTGACATAATTTGAAAATACCTGTTGCCTTTTACATTGTGCGTAAATTTCATGATGAATTTCAAAAGAAATGGAAAATAGATGTGGAAAAATGTCCGGTTCCATTGATCTACATTAAAAATAAAGTATGTTTTTTCATTCTGCTGTAAAGTTCTCATTTTGGAGATATGAGGTTTTGTTCAGACAGCAGCGATACATATATTAATATAAAAATCTGATTTTTTTTGTCTACTTTCTTCCATTAAAGCTCGTGTTTAGACGGAGTTGGGTGCATTTGATCTACTCATTAGAGGTTTTTGCACAGACTTGTGGACTCCAGCTCAAGGGCATGCTGTCATTAAAGCAAAGTGTAAATTTACCTAATAGTGAGAATTTCTAAAATTCATGTAGATATTTCTAAGATTCTACTTTTAAAAAAAAAAAAGTAGACATACTTTTCTTTTCTTTTGCGGAAGAAAAATGCAAAACAGAAGCATTTTCACTAGTTGTTAAAGTCTTTTAGACCCCACTGTTTATAAAAATACAGGTTATCCATTACTATGATGTAGTGATGTGTGGATCCATGCAAAGTGAAACGCTGCACTAAACTGTGTAATCCAGTGGAGTGTGCCACATTAATACAAATATATAAATATATAATCAAACACAAATAGAGAATATTACTTTAAACCAATTCCCATAGGGGAAGCAGATATACAGGAAAAGAGCTGACATTCATGCCTCTTGATGTTTCAGAGACAGTAGATATGTTCTCTTAGACATAAAAAGCAAAAAAGATGAAAACATGCAGACTTCAGGGGCTTCCCTGAAGGGGAACACTATAGGATCTCACAGATATTCAAAGAGAGTGAGAGAGAGATAGACGAAGTGACGTAGAGTGAGAGAAAGAAAGAGACAGAGAAAGAGCTAGTAGTGATGAGTAAACCAAGCAGACTGAGGACACATTGAGCAGAATACAGCATCACGAATACACAGACATTTCAAAGACTGTAAGTAAGAACAAAGAAATGATATACAAGAAAAAAAAACTGCAGGAGTAGTGATAAAACAGAAAGGTGGGTCAGACACAGCTCCTGGTTGCTTTGCCGTTTGGTATTTGCTGACATAACAGGCTCCCTCAGATGCAATTTAAGATCTTATTTGTAGTTTGATCTCTTTGTGGAAGTATTCCAAGATCAAAATCCTCCTAAGGTGGAGAAATAAGACCTCAATTATTTTTGCACTGTGAAAGGGAATTGAATACATTGGAAAAGGTTTCTTTCAATGCCTGTCTCCAGATTTCTGTCAAGGAACAGCATTATAGGTTTAACAGCTTTAAGTGATGTGCACTGAGGGTTTCAGTTAGAAGCAAACTTTCATATTAGAAGCCAAAAATACAGCAAAAAGAATATATAGTAGTGTGAAAAAAGTTACAGACCACGTTTCATTTACATCATTTCCTAAAACAGCAATTAAGTGTAAGTTATTAATTTTTCAGCATCAGGGAAAAAAAACCTGAAAACATACTGTATGTGTAACAGAAAATTATGTTTGGTCTTAGAAGTTGGTCGCATTTACTGCTTTTCACAATCCAAGTAACCTCAACACACATTTAGTGATGTTGAGGTCTGGGCTCCGGGGTGGTCAGTCCATTGTTCTGAGAACAAGACTGTGACAAGTAATAACAAGCAGCTTCTTTGTGTGATTTGAAACTGCAAATCTTTGTGTGACATGCAAAGGTTCTTTTTTGTCTATTTCCTTTTGTCAGTAAAGCCATCTTGGCAGCTACACATCCATTCAGACCCACAGTGCTGAGCCCTCTTCTCACAGTGGAAAGATGGACAGAAACACCTGTGGATGCTTTCAAAACTGAAGAAGGGTGGAGCTTAATTTTCTCCTCTTTCCTAAAGATAAAAGCTTTAAGTACTGTTTAAGTACCTCGTGGACCAAAACACTGCAGACTTCAGCATGTTGCCTCATTAACCACACCTGATTCAGCTCATCAGCTCATGAGCAAGGCCTTCATGAACTGAATTCAGAGTGTTAGATGAAGGTAAACGCTAATCTCCACAGTACTTTGGCTCGGAAGGTCCCCAGTTTGACATGCCTGGTGCATCTGATAACGGTTTTGGAGGTCTTGCACAATTACTTGATTACTTATTTCCCTAGAACTTTTCCCTTCCTTATGCAAGTGAATTATCTTATAACTACTCTCCTCAGAAATATCCCCTGTAAAATAAACAACTTATACTTAATGACCGGATAATATTTTTGACTGGATAATAACTTCTACACCTGATTTGTCTTAGAATATGCATACAGGGTCAGTTTCCAAAACATGGATTAAGCCTTGTCGTAGACTGAACTGCAGTGTAAATGGTAAATCACTACTGAAAAGTTTAGGCTTAGGCTTAATCTGAGTCTAAGAAACCAGCCCCTAGTGCCCTTAACAGACAATTAGTGGCATTTACTCCATGGGTGCATTCAAGCCTCTTCTTCTTACCGGTAAGCAGTGCATGATAGTGAAGGCCTCTTTCCTTGTCCTGGTACGAGCAGACATCAAACAGGTAGGCCTTGACAGGCCCGTCTATGAAGTCTGCTGCAAAGTCAAACAGCACGACTCCAAACATGACCACTACTATGGACCATGTCCTCTTCACACCCCTGTGCCGCACTATGGCTGAAATAAGGAGAACACATTCAAAATTCCAGTTTAATCAGAGCCTTTTAAACAAACCTCAATTACATAAACACCTTTTAGCGTTTTACTCATTTCTTGCCTCAACAGATAACTACAGAATTGGTTCTTTCAATTGAATAACAAATATGTGGGACTTTTTTTCTGATACAGCATGTCTATCGCCTTGAAGGCTTTGAAGAAAAATCCTACTGCTTCATGTCTAGCCAGAAATGATGTAACGCATAATGCACCGTGAATGTTCGGCCAATTAGGGCTTAGGTAGAGAACAGCTCAGAACAAATAATGAGTAGGAAACTGAACAACGAAAACAAGTACACTGAAATCATTAATATTCAAATCATTAATATTCAAATTATGGAGTAGCGATGGGGCTCATTTGCACTGACTGACCAATATCTGTAGTGCTAATTATCTTAGCATAGAATAGGAAGCTTAACTTTTCCATTGATAAGAAAACAATGGCCAAAAATTGTCATAGCAACACTGAGGTCCTTTTGAGCATCTGCACTAAACTGTAAACAGAAATTTTGTATAAAATATAAACTATGATGCCCAGAAACAGAGCTGAAAATTAATTATGTATGTAACAGGTTCTGATATCATTCATAATTTAATGTTCTTTAAGGAAGGTTTTGCGCTACAAATAGAATTTCTAGCTCAACATTTTTTAAAAGAAAAATACATGAAATAAATAAAAATACCAAGTGATGATAAAATCTTTAGCCTAATTTCTTTGACTTTGTAATTATAAGCAACCCAAAAAGGTACAAAATGCTAAGAGAATTCGAATTTTCTTGACCCAAATGTTATATATACAGCCTCATGCAAAAGTTTGGTCAGATTACGTTTTGTCGATTTTCAAAACGGAAATAAGTTAACACATCCTCTACCAAGAACACACATTCAAATGTCCAATTACTGTATTGTATGTATGTACTGTAATTACTGAATTTAACATGTTGGAATATACATATATATATATATATATATATACATATATATATATACATATATATATATATATATATATATATATATATATATGGCATGTGCAAAAGTTATGGCACCTGTTATATTTTATGGCTTTTTTTATTATTGAATAAGTTAAATAAATAGAAATAGTGCTCTCTAATTTAAAAAAAATGTTATATTTAAGTGTGCTCCTTGTAGAGGATGTGTATTTATTATCACTTAGAAAATCAACAAAAAGTCATTTGACTACTGGTGTTTGACATTTTACAACTGTATTTTGTAATTTTGTCTTTCAGTTTACTTTACTTTTGGCACAAAACTGTGTTGGTGCACTACATTTTATTATTGTGCAAATTACATACACATTTGAATCAAGTCAGTTGAATACATCACTTTCTTTAGCAAATTATCCAGGCAGATAAATAAAACTAACTCTAGTGTCTTACCTGAAACCACTGCATCTCCATTGAGAAACATGGTGATGCCCACCAGCATCATAATCCCCAGTGACAGTATGTAGGGTCTCCTGCGGCCCCATCGCGAGCGGCAGTAGTCGCTGGCCGAGCCGATGACCGGCTGCAGGATGAATCCCAGCACGGGGCTGATGAGCCACACCAGACTATACAGGCTCCGAGGGAGTCCCACACTGAGCAGCACAGGCGTGACAAATGCTGCCTCCACGGCGTAGCAGAATTCCCTTCCAAACATGACCATTCCATGCATGATGAGCCTGCCTCGCGACCTTCTGGGTGGCTCCACGGCCCCGAAAACTGTCGACTCAATGGAGTCCGCAAAGTCCCCTTTGGATCCGCAGTCCACCGAGTAGGGCTCCATGGCCGTGATGTGGTTGCCCGGCTCAGGGAACCTTGAGGGCTTGTCCTCACTCAGCAGAGTCATGGCTCACACTGCTAACCACCTCTCCAAAATCTGCACTCACTAATCTCTACTGCATAGCTGAGCAAGTGGAGTGCAAAAGGAGCGCTTGAGTAGCCCTCAAGATCTGATCTGAACTGAGAAGAGAGAAGGTAGTTGCCTGATTTGGATGAATTAAAAAAGCCTCTTTTTTCTCCTTGCCTTGCCAAAGGCCTCCAGCAAGTTGTAAACACGTGACAGAGATTATGAGCTGAGAGGCTTCTCTCTCTTTGCTCTTACTGGAATTTCTAGTTTGGCATTTTCCTAAGAAACTGCTGTTGGCAGATGGACAGTGGTTGTAAGCTGAGCTGGTAACCCTAACCCTAACCCTAGACTGATTTCAGAGCACATGTTTCTTGTTTTATTTTATTTATTTTGTTTTTTCTTTTTGAAGCCCTCTAGGTAACATTGGCTGGATCAAAGCTTAAACTTTCCTTGCTGACTACTCACAAGGCCTCTTTTGTGGTCTGCAATTGAGGTAGATTGTTCACATTTGGTCTATCAAATGATGTAACATGTGATCCTTCGAGAATGCACAAGCTTTACAAGGGGGTGATGGAGCATTCTAGCATTTAACTAAGGTTCAAGAACTTAAACACGCCACAATGTTGACACTTTGACCTCTTATTATCCAGTTCGCCTCTAAGCCAAGTCTTTACCTTCAGTTCAGAACAACTCGCAAGTTCCCATGTGGATATATATCTCTCTGGCTCGCTCACATTCGTCATGGGATACTGCGTAGAGTCTGCACAGAGATCATGTGAGCCACAGGCCATTCTGCTGACTTCTCATGGTACACCGCCCACTACAGTCAGATCTGAAGTGGAATTTCACTGATTTTTGAAAATTTCTGCTTAATGAAATGGTTAAGATGTACACAATCATTCAGAGTGGTTTGATGAGAAATGTGCCCTTCTAGAGAAAAATACCAGATCTCTGGTTTGGTCTGAGTTTAATGCCTCTACAAGTTGCCTCATAGAATAGAAAAAAAATTGGTGGAATTCCCCTTTAATCTGCAACAGCCCAGGCAACAGCCCACTAAGAACCCATCAGATGGTTAGAGCTACTCGGATTAAAATGCCACATTCCTCACGTATCTCTACACAGACACTGTGACTCTTTCACTATTATTCTTAGGTAAAGTTAGCTTTGCTCAGAGAAGTTAACTCTATTCACCCCAAATATAAATGTAACACAATGAAATTGCTAGATTCACTCAGATTATAAATTAGCTACAAAACATGGTTGATAAATATGGAAACACTTCAGTACAGGGGGGCATTATCATGTCTTTGTAATGCACTTATTAAGCCTTTTCAAGTCAGCTGCTGCAAATTAACTCACTACTATGTTACTAAGCAATAACTAGAGTGAGTTAAGAATGTTTAATTGTGTATTCTACGTTCTTTTGTGGACAATTTTAGGTGGACATTATTAGGACTTATGAAGCCAAGAGCTGCCCATTACTACTCTATTAAATAGTAACTAGAGTGGATTAAGAATTTTCACACCTGTTTGTGTATTATATATCATAATGTTATGCATAATCCTTCCCTAACATTGGGTCTGTATGTGCTTACTTTTTTTTTATTTCTACCAACAACTTAATAATAAGCCACCGATCAGCTCTAAATAAATACAAGACTTTCTCTTCTAAAGAGAAACTTTCTAGTTAACATGTACTAAAGTTCTTAACATATGGTGTATATAACTGTGAAATAGACTACTATTTCTGAGGGAGCTTAGAGTTCAGTTAATTACAGGAGGTAATTCATGCCAGAATTCTTACTTTGCACACTGTAGAATCATACTGGATTAAAACCACAGATCTCATCAGTAATGACTCAAATTACAGCACTTCCCAAGGTAAAACTAACCCAGCTCGAACTGGGCTTAAGAGAACAATATTCATTTTGTATAACAAATGTAAAACATACATTTCCTCTACGTATACTATCTGTGCCAGTGTGTAATTTGCATGCTGCTGAGAGAGCTGACCGAGCAACTTTAATTGTGAATACAGAAAGAGCAGTGCAAGCATGGGAATCTTCGTAAAAACTTGGTAGGCAACCTGTTAAAACATCTAATCAGATCTTCACAGTGAAGAAGACAGAGACCCAACCTCAAGTTAATAGACCAGACTGGATTGGCATTTTATTCATAATGATTTTATTTTAAGGTTTTAATTCGGCATTTTTTCATGCATAGCTGGCCATGTGTAAATCAAAGGCAGGGATAGTGAAAGGCCTTTTAAATGATGTTTACTGTGATTGGCGATATCTTTCTAAATAAATTACTGAAAAGGAAAAGGTCTACTGGGTTGTCTCTTGAACAGTTGCTATAGATATGTCTATGGTTTAGAGAGTAAGGAAGTAAGGAATGAGTAACGAAATTAGTTTTTCTAATTACAGTAATTCCATTACAGTTTGAGAGAAGTAATTAGTAATTTGTGACAGATTATTTTGTTTGAGCAACTTCCCGAACACTGTTTCTACATAAAGCAGTAATGAGCAGCTGGCTATATACCTGATAAGGTTACATAAGAGCATTACAAGGGCATTACAATGCCCCCCCCTATACTGAAGTGTTACCGTAACCATAAAAAAAGACAGAGAAAGGATTATCATGCTCATTAGAGGCTAGGGGGGAGTTAAGACAAGATGTTGCATGACTAAGTTAAAAGTAAGGGTGGTGGTTAAATATACATTTAATTCAATGCTAAACTAATGCCCATGTCTCGCTAAATAATAAGTACTGCACATTACACTTAGACACAATAAGAATATTTTAATAATTCATATGATCCATATGTATAAATCAACAATACTTTGTCAATAGGAACAACAGGTATATATGAAAATATAAGTGCTCCTCTTGATCTATGAGATCTCAGTAAGTTTTAGTTACACAAACAATTTCGAAACAAGAAAAAAAATGTCTTAGAGATCTCTGTAAAGCAGCCATTGGTAATAAAGAATCAGATTTATAAGGTTTTGTGACTTGTTTATAGCTGCAATGAAAAATAAAGTAAAATCACATCATATTTTTGGGCTCACAATGGGGAAGAGCAGCTGTATTTAGAAAGGCGTATTCTTTCAGAGTCGGTGGTGATACAGCATAAATTTCACAGGAATCCCAGAAGTCAGTTTGGGGAATAAGTTCAAAGAACACTCTTCTATTGCACAACCTGTCTAAAGCATAATGTATACTACTGTCCATGTACACTGTGCTTTAGAATAGAAAAATTAGAAGCCTTCTAATTACATTAATCATATAAGATAATTTTTACAGTGTTAAGTGACATTTAGCTGAAACCCTTTGTGGTTACAAAGTTAAAAACTCATAGCATACTAGAAGTGCTAGATGTGCCAATATCCATGGAAAATCAAGACATGAGGGCAGATAAGAACTGGACGGAGCCCATTAGGATTAAGTGAATCACGTCTCCACTTGTCACCCTAATTCTATTTGCTGACAAAAAAGACTCACAAGTTTGAGGCCTGTCACTTTCAGCTTTCAACAGACTGAATTATGGTAGCCTGCAGATCAAAGGGGAGTTATTTTGAGCTTAAGCGCTCTTCACACGTCACTTCTCAGCTGAAAGCAACGTGTTTTAAGGTGAGAAAGTGTTTTTCACTGCATCATTCACCACAGTGTCCTGTAAGTCCTGTATACAGAGGTCCTACAAACGTGCCTTAGCCTCATTGCACTCTACGATTCCTGCAGAAAGCAGCTTTTCAACCTGGGCTGCCTCAAAGCCATACTCCTTCAGAACAGCGCGGGTGTGCTCCCCAATGAAAGGGTCACGAGACACGGAGGGCTCAGCAGGGGAGCGGGACAGGACGGGCGCCGGCCGGGGGCTAACCTCCCCCTGGGCGTTCCTAAGGAATGATCCCCTCTCATGGTTATGAGGATGAGAGCCCACTTCATCCAAAGAGAGCACGGGGGTGACACAGGCATCAGTTCCATCGAAAATCCGACTCCACTCTGCCTGCGTTTTCTTGGCAAATACCCGGGTGAACGTCTGCTTTAGCTGTGGCCAATCAGAGACACTCATCTGGGCTGGAAGATCCGCCGCGTCCAATCCCAGCCCTGAAGCAGAGTAGACACGCATCACGAATAACGATTACAAAAGGGAAGATAATCAATAAAACAGCTTAAAAAGAGATGGCCTAAAAAACTGTAACTCTGTTGGCCATTATATAACTCACTTTTAGGAGAAGCTTGATTTATGTGTGGGCCAAACAAGAATAGTAATAGTGCCATTACGGCTTGCAGAAAAAGATTAAGAGAGCTGCATATGTACTTAGATGGAGAGTTAAGGGAAATCCATATGCACATACTGATAAGCATCCTGTGGTTTTTCCCTAATCGAAAAGCTCCTCATGCCTTTCCGAAACACACAACTTTGAGGTAAGTCTAGAACGACCTTCAGAACTTTGTGGTTAAACTCACTGCAGGTATTTCCAAATTTCCACACTAAGGCAGCTGCCGTAGAACTTTTGTAATAAGAGTCCTTGTGCGTTCTACAGATGTACTTTAACAAGTGTGCATGGTCAAATAACTCAGAGTGCAAAATGATGTACGTCTACTCTACAAGAGTGAAGCTTGAATAAAAAGCTGAATGAAGATACAGATTTAGATGGTATTAGCTTTTTCAGTTGTGACAGAAAGAATTCAGCCAAATATTTCACTGATCATGTTGGCAGACCATAATAAGATAACACAGTCACCATGTGGTCTGGAAGTGAATGGACAGCGACAACATTTTATTGTTTTGGCTCTGTATCCAAGCACACTGGAGAGGAAATGAAACAATGAGATAAGGAGCAGAATTCCAGCTTTATTGAGTGCATTTATGTCTTCACTCAATGAATAAAATAGGAATCCTCTATGTTATACTTAATCCAACCCATTTCAGGAGCCCATAAGACATTTGAACATGATCTTGATTCTTCTGTCAGCAAGTCCAGACCTCCCTTCCTCACTCTCTTTACATATCAAATCAAATCACATTTACACAGGTGTGAAGGTGCATGAAAATCTCTTTTTGTACGGTAATATAGGTTATAAAATAAAAGCTATAATATGCACAGTTGTACACATTTCCATATATGTAGTTTGTGAGTCTGATGTACATAAATGAGATGCAGGGAACATATACCTACATATACATAAACATATAGATATATAGGTATAGATTTGCTAGAACTTACAGTAAGATCGGAGTGAGTCTGTTTGAGGTGTGGATGTGGTGTGGATTGTCTGTGGAGCTCATGATAATGGTGATGATGATGATTCAGAGGCTTGATTTATTACTTTCATAGTAAGTTCCTGACTAATTGTTATTAGACAGTGGACTGATTTAAAAGAGTGTGACATAGTAAAAGTTTCAAAATGTACTGTTTACTCCCCACAGTCAACCTATGAAAACTAAACTGTAAAAAAGTGAGTCTATAAAAAAGTATGTGATCCATAGACATTACTATCTGCTGGGTATCTTCCTAGGTGATACTCTACCAGGCCTGCAATTTTCAATTCCTGTTTTTTTGCCTTCATTCTTGTCTTGAGAAAGTGAAATCCTCACAGGGTTCAAGTTGGGTGTTTGACTTGGGCAATCAAAAACAATCTTTGTCCCTTAAAAAACTCCACAGTTGCTTTAGCCGAATGTTCTGGGCCATTGTTCTGCTGAAGGCTAATGTATTTTTTGGTTGGACTGAGCAGTGAAGGTGCTTTTTTACACTTCAAAATTCACCTTGCTGGATCTTTTTGCAGTCACACCATCAATAAATACAACTGAGCCATATCCACAGCAAAACATGCCCGTGCTATCACATTTCACAGATGTTTGCTCTGAATCAAGAGCAGTTTATTTTTGTTCTCCATGTTTTACTTATTCCATATAGATTTATCTTTATCTCATCTGTCCATAAAACTTTGCTTCAGAACTCTACAGGCTGTTTCTGAACTTTTCAGCAAACTGTAACCAGGCCTTTCTGTTCCTGAGGTAGTGGTCTGTAAGTATTTCTTCATGCTGAAGCTATTCTTTTTCAGCCATCTACTATCTTCAGTTCTCTGCCAGGTTTTCTGATTATTGCTTAACAGCGCATTCTCATTATCAAATTCTGTACCAAATAGCTGATTCTTCTGATTCTGTACCACGCTTAATGTATTTAATTTCTAGTCAAATTGGCCATTAAGTAGAAGTCGTTAATTATTCTGAGGAGATCAGATAAAAGACATTTATTTCTGAGGAGATTAGATAAAGGACAATCCATTTGAGTAAGTGAAAAACACTCTAATACTGGATGGCAAAAACAGCATGAAAAGATGTCGAGAAAATGAGACTCCTAGCAACGGTGCAGGACCTGGCACAGGACCAAAACTGTCCCCATCAGATAAATAGTACTTAAAGCTTTCACCTCTGAGAGGAGAAAACCAAACAGATCTGAAAAAATCAACAGGTGTTTCTGTTCGTCAACACTATAGGAGACGTGTCGCTGTCAAGAAGCCCTTACTGAGAAAAGAAGAAAATGCGCAAGTCAAGCAAAGAAGCTGCTGGTTTTCTCAGAACAATGGACTGACTACTGAATGGTCACTGAATGTGTTTGGGATTGTGAGAAGCAAAAAAATGCCACCAGCTTCTAAGAGTGAACTTTGGTGTGGAAAAATATGGCTGCAGATTTCTTTGAAAAACTGCAAGTAAGTTTCCTGAAAAGAATAGAAGCTGTAATAAAGGCACAGAGTGGACACTAAATATGAAAAATGTGATAAAAAATTTTGTTGAGGATTCAGTGTACATTTCTGTTAAATACACAATTGGTGCTTTTCCTGATGTTGAAAAATAAAGACATGTTCTGCACTTTAACTTTATATGAATTGTTTCATTTGAACAGTTACAGACTGAGCTGCATTTGTATGTAATGCACTTGCTGTATCTTTCATTCTCTGTTCTTTGAACAGTGCGGTGACACTGTAGCTTGGTGTATGTGTCTGAAGTGTACCGACCTTGGATGAGTTGATCATAGAACTGTGGTTCAATGGCTCCCACTGCCATGTACTTCCCATCAGCGGTGCGATACGTGTCATAGAATGGAGCTCCACTGTCCAGCATGTTTTCCCCTCGGGGTCGATTCCATAAGCCAATGCTGCGGGACTTCCACAGAAAAGAGCCTACATATGCTGCCCCCTCCACCTGGACAAACACAATGAGTATGTATTCATTACAAAGCTCCATGCTTTGTTTATGTGATTCCACTTATAACTCATGTATAGGTTTTCCAACCTCTCTGACCTTACATATCTATGCATACTGCGTAACAGCCAAACAAACTCAATCCCACAGAACATAAAGCTGCATTTATGTTATGCCACCATAATCCACATTTCAGCAAACTTTACTATTACAAGCAACCTAGAGTCACTGGAAAATACTGCTGTGGATTTTTTTTTCCTGATCTTAAACTAGTCTAAAAATGCCACCCTAGTTTTATTATGCTTTTAGAAACCTATATTAAATCAACACATATAAATTAATTAACACGCAGTTCAAAGGCTGTAACGTCACAGGAGAATTTAAATATGGATATATGGCATGTTCTCACAGAGGACCAATTCCCAGAAACATCAGTCTTCAAAGAGATGTGGGTTCATTTTTTAGTCTATGAAGTGGCCCAAGATCCCACTGAGCCTGAACGGTGGCTTAATATGTGCACAGAATATACACTGGGGTCCAAAAGAGACCACAGTGAAAATTCCATTTAAACCTGGAAATAAACAACAGAAAGTTGAAAAAAAAAATCAAAAAAGGAAAGCTGTGACAAGTAAAATGCAGAAGAAATATTCAAGATCCTGCAAAAAGCAAATCTGTGACACTGACCTTGTTAAGGCCTTTGTGCAAAAAAGTCATTTTCTGCCATCTTATTTCTTCTATTCGTGTTCATACAACACTCAGGTAGATTTAGTCTACTCATCAGACCGTTCACATTAATCTGTACCAAACAATAAGAAATCCTGATATTCATGGAAATATTTAAAAGATTCTACTTTTCACTGAAATTGTTATGATATCATTTGTAATAAAAAAAATATATACAATAAGAAAGGAATGCAAAATAGAATTATAATAGAACAGAAATAGAATTGTGATCTCAGACTTTTGAAGCCCACTGTACATTGTTGTAGCCAAGACCTCTATAAGTAAGTCTGGGTAAAGATTGATACTTTGCAGCAGTTTAGCCTGAGTCAAGACTGAGAGCAGGAGTGCTGAGACCGAGAGAAGACCGGGACCAGATTAAGATTTTTTTAAGAATATAAAAATAAAGAAGAATATAGGAAAAATCATAGTTGACAATTGTACATTCATTATCATTTATTATTATATGATATATATGAATAAATGACATTTTGTATTGAATTGTTAAATACAACATTAAACAATACATAGCCTAAAATACTATTAATCATTAATATTCTAGTCTTAGCCCAACTTTGCTTTGTAACTTTTGGAAGCAAATTATAGTTAAAGTTTTGAAGGTGTCGATGTTCAATAATCACAGCAATAATGTTTATTTTCCAATTACCTCAGATGGAGGCAACATAGTCGGTTGGTCTAAAGAACAATTTCTGAGTCCAACTTGTCCAGCCGAGACAAGACCAAGTCAAAATGATGTCAAGACAGAGACCATTAATTTACGAGTACCACAACACTACGACTGTATATCACCCTCTTTGGTTTTGGTGCCCACATCATAAAGTTACTTTAGCTCTTGGTCCAGAGCATGGCATAAAACAATTGACCTCTTAGAATTCTATCAAATCAAAGCTGTCCAACAAATTTGTCGGTACAAGTCTCTGGTTCAAACAGCCTCCCGTTCTCTCACTGATTCCAAAAACGGGATGGGAATTGAAGTATACGAGAGGCATAAAAGAGAATAACTGACTGGACACTGAAAGTCTGGAAGAAAAGTAGCAGTAGCAAAAGAACAGAGAAACCCACTTTTCAACTTTGCACAGCTGATGAAACTCTGTGATCTCTCTTTTATCTGAAACACTGCTAACAACTCACATGACCTTTACTGTCCGAGGCCACTTAGCTTAACCTGATGCCTTCTTCTCTGAAGCCACTTCACCTGAGGCCACTTGAAACAGCCCATTTTGCCTGATGTACAAGACAGGGTAACCTTGGTTTCTGAGAACAACCAGACATACCAACAGCTTTTTCCACAGAGCTGTGGCACTCATTAACCACATTGGCCACCTGCACTTTAAACTCAAACTGAAACCAACAAAAAAGAGTATTAGAGTATAACTCCTCTGTAACATAAGGCTTATTTGCACAACTGTATAAATGTTAATTTTTACAAATGTTCATACATATTCACACATCTCTTTACCTCTTTTTACATTGGCTTTCTATTATTATTATTATTATTATTATTATTATTATTATTTATTCTAGTTATTCTGCTTTAATTTTACTTGTTCCTTAGTTAAATACTTGTTAATAGCCTGTGTGCTTGTCTGGTCTGTTCAGGATATTACATGTCAATGTGTACTTTCACCAAGACAAATTCCTTGTATGTGTAACATACTTGTTGAAATAAAGTGATTCTGATTCTGATTTTTAGGCAGCCCTTCATCTTGAGTAGAAATCCTTCACTAGTAAGTTCTGCTTATTCCCCAACATGTGCAGATTATCATCAGCAATTTAGCTGATAGATTGTCTTTCCAAAGTCAGTTTTAGCAAACCCTTATAACTCATGTGAGTTCAGTCATTTCAACACACTTTAATGCTTCAATCGATCAAATACTCTACTACACTTTCCCCACCACCTACCACCTCCCAGTAACCCAAGCACCTGTCTAATGTGTATAATGTGATTCATACTGCATAGAGCAGCAGTGTGAAGTCTTAAATGGTTTCAACAATTATAATTTTAACCCTAATCACCATCAAGCAGAGTACAGTTACTTAGTGACTAATTCAAAAGAACAGCATGAAAAAATGTTTCCACAATGACACTTTAGTGTGAGTTCTCACATTAACACGTTCAGGCAAATTTAATCAAATACAAATCAGTTTATAAGTGGCCGACAAGCACAGCAAGATTTGGCTGTCAGAATGTTTCATATTATTCATTACAATGTGGACGTGGACACAAGTGTTAGTCATCACTAAACCAGTGTGTAATCACACAGGGACAGAGCAGCTCTTAAGGGAGAATATGACAGATATCATTACCGCCTGTCAGCAAAACAGCTAATTATCACCACGGCAGCACCTGCTCATCCCTCATTCTCTAAGGGAGTCTTTCTACACCCTCCACACGCAACTATTCTCCAGGACTGAATTCCTGATAGAAAAGCCAGTCATCACATTGAAGGCATTTTATCTAGCCCACTCTGCGCAATTATGCTCCATACAAGGAAGACAACATTCAGCAAGAAAATCTCCAAAGAATTACAATTCTTTACAATCCCCTCAAGTTCTGTGTGTTACCTGGGTGAATGTGTGCTACTATCTCCGATGTGCTAGGGTAACATGGTGGTAAGTTTTAAGAGAGCAACTAAATTATAGAAATGCAGGGGTTTAGTCATTATGCCAAAAAGTAGTGTAAAAGGAGTAAAACTCATAATTGATTATAATTAATTGGAGTAACAAGGTGGTAAGCACAAACATATTCACATTAAACTGCATTATAATGTTGCATATTTAAGTAGGAGAGTAAACTGGAAAAATCTAGTTACCTAGTTATAGATACAAAGTTCTTTGTTAAGTAGTAAAGAAAGAGTTTCCGTCAGTTACACGGTTTACAACACACTGTACCACACAAATGGATAGTTTCCTAAAGGAACACCAAAACTGGACCGAAACCAGGCACGGCCAAGACCAAGACAAAACAAAGAAAAGATTAAGATTTTTTTTCAGAACATAAAAAAAGAAGACTTGTGTTCATTGTAAATTCATTATCATTCATTAGACATGATATACATTAACAAATACTATTATATTTTACATTTTACATTTAATAATATATAGCTTAAAATATGTTTAATTATTATCACATTATAATCTCAGTCCAACTTTCCATTATTACGTTTGGAAGCAAATGATGGTGAGGTTATTCTCTGTCTATTCTCCTAAACCTATTCAGAAGTCACCACCTAAAGTCAACTGAAACTGAACCAAACAACATACATCTGTTAAATTTTCTCATTAAATGTAAACATTGTGCTCCGCCCAGTTAAGCCATCATGGAAAGTATCATTTAGATTCTCAACTAGCAGCGAACAGATTTTATTTAAACATGTAGAGTAGGGGTCTCAGATTCAAATAACCTTTAGCCAGGTCTTCTCCCAGATGGACCTGCAGAAGGAATGTAGGGAAAGGCGTAGTATGAATTTTAACAACATACATGCACTCATCGCGCATCTTAGTCAATACTTACCAGTCTTCTGTCACCACACACCATTACTACTACAGATTTATTCTTCTTAATAATAATAATAATAATGATAATAATAATAATAATATTATTATTATTATTATTGTTATTATCATTATTGTTGTTGTTGTTGTTATTACAGTAATATAAATATGTACCGCATTTATTAAACATTTTAATGCTTACCTGAATTAAATAAACTTACATTTAAGGGTAGAATTGCATGGGACTCTTATTATGATAGCGTTGGCTTTTCTGCTAAACACAAGTAAAGTTCTTGCAAGTGAAGTGCTGGGAAATCTCAGTGGATTTATTTAATAATTCTGTTCATTTCTTTATACTGTCACACTGTCTACTGCTGCATCATGAAAGAAAGAACAACGGAAAAAAGCTCAGTTTCTAATTACTTTAGACAGAGGCACTGCACTTGGCTGGCCTTGGCAACAATTTCCTAGTCCACCCTACCTCAAGACTGAAACAAGCCCGAGTTTAAATGATGTCGAGACTAAGACCGGATTCAAGTACTACAACACTATGTACAACAACATCCGGAGTTGACTGGTTTTTGAATGAAAGCATTTTGTTTGCTTATATGTACACACAAAGTTTAATACAACAAGCAATACCCTCTGGAAAACAATTTGACTGGGAAGAAATAAATTCTACAGCAAGATAACAACCTCACACGCACAGCTGAGAAGATCAAGACATTCAGCTGGTCCCTGAGCCTCAAAATCACTCAATTTTGATATTATTTTTAGTTGCTGAGGCTTCGTAATTTCCTGTTACATATATATTTTTGGTTTATTTTCCAGATGCTGAAAAGTGACTTAATGGCCGTTTTGACAGTAAATTAAATCAATGAAAGGTGGTCTCTGACTTTTGCACAGTACTGTATAAAACTCTTTGTGCTCCACATAACAACCTGGTACTTGGAGGTTTTCCCCGATTTTACTTTCCTGCTTAAACATGTGACGTTACAGTGAAATTTAGTGTAATTATGTTTGTACTTATCACCTTTTTACTCATTACTCAATTAACAGGTATTTTTCACTTTATAGCAAGACCATGTTGGATATTTTAGTGTATATTAGTTAAACTGTCTTGAAACCTTCATATTACCCAAAATAATTACCTCGCACTTTATTTTTTTTTATTTATGGTCAACCACTGGTCATCTGATAATAACAAGAAAAGTCTAAGGCAATCAGTTGAGAATTAATTGTGTATAATTTACACACAGATAATGATCAAGCAATCATATGCTGATTATTATTGTTCTCCTGTAATTGCAAATCAATAGCACACATACAGAGAGACAATCTATCAGCTAAATCGCTGATGACAATCTGCAGAAGTTGGGGACTAATCAGAACTTACTGGTGAAGACATTCTAATCAGGATAGAGGACTAACCATAAATGCCCAGAAGCCAATGTTAAAACTGCTTTCTTTTAATTAGTATATCATCAGTTTCACTTTGACATTGTCACATAAGCATGTGACATATGGCAAAGCTTTTCAACAGTGCTCTTTGCATTTACATTTAATCTCAGAGAATGTGAAAACATATAAAACATTCTAATCCTATGACTGTTGTTAGCCACTGCTCAAGGCCAGCAAAACACCTTAACAGACAACAAATGATCCTCTATTAATGTGGACTTACTGCTGCCCCAGTGGCCCCTGTGCTAAAACCTATCATTTATCATGTACAAATGCTTGGTGACTTTGATATTAAATTGTATCTGCATGCCCTCTGACTCTTATGTTCTCAAACAGGAACCCTACAGCCCATACTTATAAAGCAGTAGGAGTGCTGATCTAGGACGCGATTTTTCTCTTATTTATGACGACCTTATGCTTACTGACAGGAATAGATCCTAGAACAGCACTCCTACTCTGAGAAGCTTTGAAGCTTTATGGATACAGGCACTCGTCTCTTATTGTACACATGAAGTTTGTGCTGGAAGACCATGTGTAGCTTTCATACACGTCCTATTTCTGAGTTTCACAGTTTCAATATGCTGCACTTCTTCAAAAAACATAAGACACACCAGACACTGTCATGTAGTTGCTAGGCCTACCTGCATATTTAAGTTTTAAAATGTATTCCTCTGTGTAATGCGACATTTTTGTGCATGAAAACTAATTTGTTTTTTTGGATATTCTCAACAGTTTAATATAGTCAAACATTGTCTAACTAACCCAACTTTTTTAGTACTCCATCTAAATTGGGACTACAGAAAACAGCTCTATTTAAGCTTACTAGATGTAACTAGTGAATATGACTGCCTCTTTATGTACCAAATTTGCTTAAATGTTTTGTTTTGTTGGTTTTGTCCCCCCGGACTGACCACAGAGACCTGAAGCAGCACTAGGATTTTAACTCATGATGTCTTCTGACGATCAAGCATTTAAACTATCCTGCCACTTGGAAGCCTTGAGATTATAGAAAGAAATAATGAAAAGATATCAAAATGTCTAAAAACACAATTAAGAACATTTAATACTTTGCACTAGTTAATTTATTTCAGCAAAGGTAACTATTCTTTAGCTAAGCACAGACAGAACCCGATTCATTTTAGTCCAGGTAGGGCAATGACTTTCACACAGAGACGTATACAAAATTATTTACTTTTTCCATTTTTCACATGCACTCTTGTGGTAAGTGAACAGCATCCCTCAGGATATAAACACTACCGAACAGCTGCGGTGAAGAAAATATAGACTTCAGATGTACCAGGCTACTTGAAAATGTGCAGATAAACAAGCAGAATGCACAGATGCACTTAAGTCAGAATGTCAGGTTTGGAAAAATTGACTATCGACTGAGCTGGCCTGACAGCAGGACCACAATATGAAGGGTACAAACACTGTTTATAATGGGCTCCAATCAGTGATGTGGGAAAAATTGAACTTTGGGCGCACTGATAAGAAAAACCCACAAGTCTAAAGCCTGAAACAGCCCAGACGCCATAGACTGATCCCCATCAATGTAACGCTTTTGCTGATGCCTCAGAAATAAGTATACTTTTCAGAAAAAAAAAAAATCTGCAATCTGTGAAATGCAAAAGAATAAAGATTCTTTCTATCTATCTTTAGAGAAGACGCACAACTTGACGCAGTTCACCAAGGACATGTATTCTTGACTTTCAAACAGAGTTTGTGCTATTTGGTACAGCAGAAATAAAAGACAAGGTGAGAGCTAAAACAACTCACCATGCTGGCATCGATGATCTGGCCCTTGCCTGACCTGCTTCTTTCCAGCAGGGCCAGGACGATCCCCAGGGCACACATCAGGCCTCCTCCTGCAAAGTCTGCCACCAGGTTCAGTGGAGCATAGGGCTTCTCTGAGCTGCGGCCCAACATGGACAGCAGTCCTGTAACAAAGAGAGACAGAGCATGGAGACAGAAAAATGATACCTGAATGGCTTCTACACAACATGTTACAGCACCATACTTTTATAGACAAACAGTTGTAGGCTACACAACTATTATAATTTTAATCAAAATTCAATTACAAAGTAACGATACAGAGCCTTACCCTATAGCTTGCATTATCCCTGATAGTAATATAATTGGCATTTAATTACCACCTGGGCTAGCTTCTAATATTACCTAATAATTTGACAATATTTTGGTTTCCAAATGCAGAGAATCACTGGATATTAAAGGGCCCATATCATTTAAAACCAGATTTCCCTTATTTTTTCAGATAAAAGTGTTTGATGTAGTACGTGAACACCGCTATATACATGTTTTAGAATGTACCATTCACCCCCCCTGTACATACAGTCCATGCTGCAAACTCCATGAAACTCCAGCCCATTTAGAATTCATTGTTTTTGTGATGTCACGAAAACCAGATGCGATATTCACCTGTCAAGGCTACAAAAGTTTAGCTCCTGCTATAACACTGAAATTATAAGAAGTGTTTCAGCCCAGACTACAGAACAAGGTACAGTTCAGAACAGCGAGTCAGAACAACGGTCATTTACATATATCAGTCTTAAAGGCACAGTAACAAATTCCAAGGGATAAGAGAAGTTAGAAAATGCTCATGTGCTGTTTTTGGTACATAAAACCACATAAGCGGCCACACAAAGTGGAAAAGTGTAGGACATGGGCCCTTTAACAGTGTTACATGCTGTCTGTGCAGAAAACAGATTATTGCCATGGGTGGTAATTCTACCAATTTTCATGCACATGTCAGGACACATCATCCAGCTCAGAACGCTATACAGAGCTTGTACTGGAGGAGAGGGTCCATCAAATCAACTGACTAGAAAAATGAACACACACAAAAATGGCACTCTTCTTCTGCACAAGCTCGTCCATTTTACTCTCTACCAGTGAGCAGGTCTCATGTACTGGAGTTTTTGTTTCATTTGCATGTTCTAATTCTTCCATGTGGTGCTCAAAATATGTATTTGTGTAAATTAGTGGTCGATCTGTTTTTCTAGGCTGTAATTAAGAGCCGTTTTTACTATTGCATAAATGTTTGACCTTAGCATTGGAATTATTGTACAAATAACTGTATGAATTATTAAAAAACTAAAGAAAAATCATGTGGCATGTAAAGGAGAATAACAATGCTAATTTGCATAATGTCAGCACATATTTAAACTAACTGAAATTTGATAGCAGTTCTCTTTTGAGTTTTATATCATTTGCCATGTATTGTTCCCTCAATATCTGTAAGCCATTCAGGCCCTAAGGTAGTGAAGCAGCTCCACACAATTACGCTGCTCTATTGGTGATATGGAACATCCTGGTGGTATAGACAGCTAGTTAGAAAGCAGTTTTGTCCTGCCACGAACACCATTCTTGTCCTAGACTCTTGAACACAGATGTCCAAAGTATATGAGAAGAATGCAGATACTTAGCTGTGGCCCTCGGATTCTCTGTCAATCATTTGAGGATTCTGTGTTGTGTCCTTGCACTGATCTTTGTAGGATGCTCAATCTTTGGTGCTGAATTTCTTTCACTTATAAACTTTTTGCTGGACTGTGGACTGAAGTGTTTAAAAATGCTTTTGTAATCCACTACAGGATTATGAGGTTCGATAGCTTTTCTTAGAGGTCCTCTGACAGCTCTTCAGATCAGGGCGTCTTCTTTTTTCCACGCTCATTGTCCATTTTATCAGCTCCACTTACTATATAGGTGCACTTTGTAGTTCTACAATTACAGACTGTGGTCCATCTGTTTCTCTGCATACGTTGTTGGCGCCCCTTTTACCCTGTTCTTCAGTGGTCAGCACCCCCATGGACCCTCACAGAGCAGGTACTATTTGGGTGGTGGATCATTCTCAGTACTGCAGTGACACTGACATGGAGGTGGTGTGTTAGTGTGTGTTGTGCTGGTCTGAGTGGATCAGACACAGCAGTGCTGCTGGAGTTTTTAAACACCTCAGTGTCACTGCTGGACTGAGAATAGTCCACCAACCAAAAACATCCAGCCAACAGCGTCCTGTGGGCAGCGTCCTGTGACCACTGATGAAGGACTAGAGGATGACCAACACAAACTGTGCAACAGCAGTTGAGCTATCATCTCTGACTTCACATCTACAAGGTGGACTGACAGGGTAGGAGTGTCTAATAGAGTGGACAGTGAGTGGACACAGTGTTTAAAAACTCCAGCAGCATTGTGTCTGATCCACTCAGACCAGCACAACACACACTAACTCACCACCTCCATGTCAGTGTCACTGCAGTACTGAGAATGATCCACCACCCAAATAGTACCTGCTCTGTGAGGGTCCATGGGGGTGCTGACCACTGAAGAACAGGGTAAAAGGGGGCCAACAACGTATGCAGAGAAACAGATGGACCACAGTCTGTAATTGTAGAACTACAAAGTGCACCTATATAGTAAGTGGAGCTGATAAAATGGACAATGAGCATAGAAATAAGGAGGTGGTTATAATGTTATGCCTGATCAGTGTATATGTTCTCTATATAATAAAAATCACTATTGTATTTTTAGAAGGCAAGGCTGAATGACTGCAGCGCCTGACACAAGTACCCTCTTTTCAGGAGGTTAGTGGCCTAGCACTGCTTTGATTACTGACCCTTAATAGTTTTGACCATTTGTTCAATAAAGGTAACATTCTGTAAAATGCTGTGTTTGCTAAATAAAACTGCCTCTATTTATTAGGACTAAAATGAAGATCAGATTTTAGGATCTATTTATGATGGAATACAGATCATTTCAAAGAGTTCAAAAACTTTTTCTCTCTGTTGTATCTAAGCCTTTAATCAAACCATCTGTGTTAAAAGTAACACCTGCCAAACTAATTCCTAGAGCTGCTACTGACTGCCAGAATCAAGACATGCTGTCAACAAAACAATAACAATTCTGCTGCTGCACAAGGCAAAGCTGGCACCCATTCCATAGTATTAGCCAGCTGTGAAATAAAGATAAGCACAGAATATCACTTTTAAACTTGTTCTCAGACAGTCGAATGCAAAAGTTTGAACACCCCTGCTCAAATTACATTTTCTGTTGTTTTTCTAATTGAAAATAAGTTAGTGTCCTCTAAATGGAAAAAGTTAAGTATGCAAATTTCAGCGCACAATTTCTATTTATTTGCTAAGTTTATCATATTGTAAAAACAGAAACTGAATACATATTAATATATGACTTTTGCACAGGCCACATTTTATGTTATATTTTTCCCCCAATATGTTAACTTCCACAAAAACAGTAATTGTGCATTAGAAAGTGTTTTCTCTGTTGAGGTGTTAACTTATTTTCACTCAGAAAATCAACAAAAAAAGCTAACTTGACCACAGGCACCCAGGCATTTGCATATGACTGTATGGATCAAATCAGAAAAAGCTGAATCTGAAACAAAATATGCACCAGCAAAATAAAACAATGTACTAGATGCATGATGTTCATTGGGTTTAATAATGCTTTGTGGGAAAAAAAAGGTAAATTGTATTTTTCATTGCACTGCAGAACTCTCCTTATTACAGATTTTATATCAATTAATAATTTACACACAATCACAAGGTTAAAGCACAAAAGAACTAAATGCAAAAACATGAAAACCAGAAACTAATTATATACTGAGAGTTTGTGAAAGCTCCTCCACACACGGCATTTTAAAAATTTATGAATTCTGCCTCCACCTATTGCAGGCTATGCTAGATTGTCACAAGCCAGCTGCTGAGAGTCTGTATGCATCAGTCATATCAAACTGCAAAAGAACAGCATTTAGCATGGCTTAAATTTGGTTTTGCATTTATACCATAATTCTGTTTTCTCCTCAGTGTTCTCCATTAGATGCCTTGTATTAGGACTAAAGGAGAGTCTGTACATTGTATACAGCTCGGTGACAAGTTGATCCCAGGCAACCTGCATTGCACCTGTACATAAATTCATGGAAATAATGGGAGAAAAACACTATCTGCATAAAACTTTGAGAGGTTTACACAGAAGATATCTTACTCTTAATGACTAAACCAATTTATCAATATTTTTGCATTATGTGCATTACGATGTAATTCATTTAGCAGTCTGATGTGAACTCATTTGATGTGCAATCATTTGTTTCTGAAATATTTATAGGTTATTTGACTTTTTAACCACAAATTAACTATGGTCACCACCTAAGATAATTATTAAAGCCTCTTTTTTATGCATGTAACATATGCTGGCACAGTCATATGCAAAATGTAAACATCCCTGGCGAAATAACATGCTTTGTTGCACAAATCCTCCACAGGTAACACATTTAAATATTCCATTTTTCTGCTACATTTAGTGCACAGTTTCTATTTATTTGCTGAGATTAACATATTGGAAACAATAAAAGATAAAATGTGCCATATTTTTTGCACAGATCACATTTCATGTTTTAGTTTTTTCCAATATGTTAAATTCAGCCAGTAAACAGTAACTGGGCATTAAAATGTAGAGAAGTGTGTACTCTGTACAGGATGTGTTAATTTCTCATGGAAAATAAAAAAAAACCTTAATTTGGCCAGAGGTGCCCTAACTTTCGCATATGACTGCATGTTGTGAGTTAATTTACATGTGCTGCATGTTTTACTCATTTACAGTCACATACTCTGCAACAGCCCATGATCCAAAGCTCTGAGAGAGAACTGGAGATTAAGTGAATTACGTACCGGACATGGCCAGGTAGTTGATATCGTGCCCAGCAGCCTTGGCATAGGAGCCTCTCTGGCCATAGCCTGTAAGCCGAGCATAAATCAGCCGAGGGTTCTCCTTCAGCAACTCCTCAGGACCTAAACCCAACTTCTCCATCACTCCTTCAACATAGCACAGCAGAGAAAAAGGCAGAGTGGCAGAGTAAAGCACAGCTTAGGGCAAGAGCTTCAAATGGAGTAAATTGGCGCTCAGAGCAGCAGGGGGCTGGGTGGTTAGATGAGAGTAAATTATTCCGCTTTGGATTTCAAATGACTGGTTAGAAGAACTCGATCCCACCCCCTCATAAGTGGGAAACATCATTTTTGTCATGAGATAAACACTGTATAAGCTCTTGGATGTAAAATAGCATAAGAAAGGCAAAGATCAAGACTTCATCATGCATGGTTAAAAATATTTTATTCACAGAGGACAGACAGTGATGACTACACCACTGCAAAAAAGTCCCTAAATCACCAAGACCCTTCTCAAAGTTTAGCCAATAGTGCAATGGATTTACTTCACTGTGATGGATTTTCAGCCACTGAAATGTCTAATTTCAATGTTCAAACCTGTTTAATGTGTATCTCATCATTCTCTTTAGTATTTTTTAAATGTGTATTAATTGAATTGATAAAACATTGTTTACAGAACTGAGGTGCATTTATTCTGAACTACCTTTCCGAAAGGGTTCAAGAACCACATCTGACTGAACACACAGTCTTTTCAGCACCGCTACACCTTCAGGACTCTTCAGGTTCACGGCTACAGACTGTTTGCCCCTCGCAAGAGTATCCACCGCCATCGCAACCTTTGTCCGATCCACGCGAATCACCTTTGCCCCAAAGTCTGCCAGGATCATTCCACAGAAGGGTGCAGGAGCAAGTCCAGCAAGCTCAATCACACGCACTCCTGCCAGCGCCATGACACAGCCTGCTTAAAAGAAAGCATATACATTATAAGAGTGTGTGTGTGTGTGTGTATATATATATATATATATATATATATATATATATATATATATATATATGAACCAATTTTAAATTCTTATCCTCTTCTATATACTCATCAGAGGGTTTTGCACATACTTGTGGAGCCCATGCCAGCTCTCATTCAGGCTGTCATTAAAGCAAATTCTAAAATTCATGTAAATATATCAAAGATTATACTTTTCACTCAAACAGCTATATTATACATACATACACATACATAATATATATATATATATATATATATATCACCATATCACACACACATACATTACTATATATATATATATATATATATATATATATATATATACACACACACAAATAACAGTTATATATTTTATTATTTGTATTAAATCAGAAAATAATGCAAAATATAAGCATTTTTATTAGTGGTCTCAGACCTTTGGACTTCACTAGCTATACGTTTAACATAAACTTAGGAAACATCAAGCTGCACTGTTCTACTTAAACAGTCTCTCTTGTGGGAGGAAAGCCACATGTGAATGATGGAAATAAAGAACAACAACCTTACTTACTAACGTGTTGCAATTAATAATGTAATGTTATATAGAAGATACACTACACACTACATAAGTTCAACTCGTCGTTTGTTCTACTGAGAAAAACTTATATAGCATAAAACGTTGAAAGTGGAGGTAAGTACTGTATTCAGCATTCAGCAGGTATGCAGTAGTTACCATTAAGAGTTCTCAGTGTGAGTAAGAGTACAGAATATTTAACAGTAAGACAGAGTATTCAAAATTTATTAGACACAGCGTTCAGTGTTTGTCTTTCAGGTACGTTACGTTAGCGTGGCAGATATTTATTTCTCCCCAGGACACATTTCAGTTATTCAGGTCAGAGTTCATTTCAGCTTGACATTAAAAAGCTGGCAAGCATTATAAGCTGCACAGAGCGACTCTGCTCCAGGACCACCTAACAGAACCGTAAAAGACGCGTTAAATAAATACTGCAACAAAGAAGAAACACAGGTGTAACTCACCTTTCAGAAACAGGCACTTCGGACTAAAGCAAAGGCAACTTGTTTGGCGCCCGGTGGTGACGTCACTAGCCCAAATGGCTTGTGGGTATTGTATTTCCTCCCTTGTAGCGCGGCGCTGTTTCTTGCTATCGTGCTCTTCTTATTATTATAAAGAGTTAAATGTGATTTTCGCTTGACATTGACCTTGTGATGATCCCATAAACCGACAGGGTATTTAATCAATCCTCATTCCTGTTAGTCTCCTGACATTATCGAGGTGTTTTTTCTGCTTCGTGCATCTTTCTGATGCAACCTGACATTTAATAAGGGAGGGCTGCGGTCTGCTGAAGAGGATTCATTTGAGCGGATTTGTCACGGTTAAATTATGACAAGATCTTACTGAGAAATCTTACTGCTTATATGATAAAGAGACTGTTTTAAGAAACCTTGAAGTGTCTTAAGTAACTACCCCAAGCTTGATTTAAAGACTAACAGAAAACTTCTGGTTAGAGTCCATTTGAAGGCTATTTCTTAGGTGTTTTTTAGACTTTTTAAGAGTTTAAACAGAATAATGTCTCTCAAAGTTTCCGATTATAATGTAATAAAACTGTAGCCATACACGTCAGACATAATAAGTACAGTGAAACACTCAATAAATTATGAAAATAAAAAAATACAAAAAAGAAATTTATTTTTTCTGTATCTTTCAATATTACACATTTATGTACATTTATGCATATTTTTAGAAGGTATATAGACAACTGATTCCTGTGAATATTGTTCTCAAAACTGCTTACCTTTCATGGAAAAAAGTGTAAAATGTAGCACACGTTAAAAAGAGCAATTATCCAACACTTAATTTTAGCCCACCCTTTCACTCTGATGTGGATAATACGATTAAAGAAGATTATGGAGGTCTGTGACTCAGCAAGTGTATGTAACATATGATTTGCTCTTCAGTCATAGTCTGGAAAGATCCTAGTCATTGAGAGTTCCACAGTGTCATCTGGATTCAGGACAGCGTCTTTTTGGAGATGTGGAAAACTGGTCTGATTGGTTGCGCACACCATGCATGAAGGAACATGACAGCAAATCCTGCCTCGTCACGTCTCTGCGGTTCTTTGATTCACTAGAACAAAATTACTGCCTTGTATCTGAATGCTATTCTTCCACAGATGAAAGGGCAGGTTCGATTTCCTGATTGTCCAGGAGATATTATCAGGCAATGAAACTTTGGCATCCTGTCTCTGCCCAGGTTTTAGAGTAGTTTTGGAAAAAACTTCTAGCAATCAAGTTCCTCAAACAATTGATTGCACTTTTTCCCTGCAGAAAGAAGTTCAGAAAGATGTTCATGGTCATAGATGTCCTTAACCAACAGGCCAAGAAGTTCTTGAAGAATACAAATAAACATAAGGAATAGTCTACCATTCTAAACTTTTCACAGCCCGCATCACATGAAATATATTCAGTGTAAACAATACATGAGACAGCAGCAATATTGTTGCAGATTCTGTCCTTTGGCTGAGGAGCTCTAGGCTCTGCAGGAGGCGCATACTGACATTCGATTTTCAATATATCTTTATTTTTGATCAGTCTGCCACTGCGTCATTGTATTTCTGAGCTCCCATTTTTTGTGGCTGTTTTCAAATGTATGCATGTCCTGTTTTTAGAACATTGTATTGTGCACTTACTGGCCACTTTATAAGTTACAACCCCCTTTTGGTACATCTTATGGGTTACAATCAGTTACAATCTTTTTTCATTCACACTTGTTTTAGTGTGTTTTTTTTTGTGTGTGTGTTAGTCTTTCTCTAGCCCTTCACCTATGGTCAGTGTCTGACCACAGGACCTCTTTGTTATGATACTTTTGATTGGTGGACAATTTTCCACCCAGCATTGACACAGTGATAAAAAATGAAAAACATAACAACACTATTATACTAAGACTTACTTCCATGCCACTACCATGTTGATGCTGGGCTGAGAATAGTTCACGTCCCAAATAATATCTGGTGAGAGGTGGACCTTAAGTGGTCCCTTTCTGTTGCTGGATGGGGTAGTGGGTGGCAAACAAATTGTGCAGCAACAGATAGCTAGCAAGTACAATTATTTCTAAGGAATTAGAAAGCAGAGATTAGTAAATTCTGTTTGACCTGTATTTAATTGAAAGCAGTACAAAAATGAAGTATTTAATGTTTTTTACTTTTTTGTTGTAATGTGTAAAATCACTCATTCCAAATTTGTTGGCTGCAACACATTCCAAAAGATTTTGGACATGAACAATAAAAACAATCTCTCAAAGTCTTTCAGTTTGTGTCTTCATTACAGAAAAACTGATAAAGGAACAAGCCAAAATATGTTGAGAGATTTTTTTGTCCACAGCCATGTTATAATAAAGGCTTTTATTTATGAAGAGTGCCATGGTTTTGTACTTTTTTCTCTAGATTTTGAACCCCTGGCCATAGAGCTTCAATATTAATGTTTATTTCCTTACCAGCACTCTCTGATTAATTTTGTTGAACAGAGTACAATTGTTTGGAGAAAGAAGACACCAACTGATCCAGTTTAAAAGTGGATTTTTTTGACAAATGTACTATAATACAAGCCTTTAGCTGTGCAACCATGTGGGGTTTTGTTGTTGCATTTTGAGCTTCATAATGCACTTCATTTCAACAAAGGATCTGGACTGCTGCCAGGCCAATCAAGTAACCGCGCGCTCAGATTATACAACCATGCTGTTGTGGCTTGGTCTTGTCATGTTGAAGTAAGCATGGACATCCTTGAAAGCAACAACAGCATATGTTGCTCCAAAATGTGTTTATATCTTTCAGCAGATGTATAAGCTCCCACACCACCCTGACAAACTCTTGCTTTTGAACTTTATGCTGGTAACAATCTCAATGGTTCTTTTCTTCTGTGGCCCAGCAAAGACGACATCCATTATTTCCATAAACAATCTAAAAGGTCCACAGTACATGTTTCTACTGTGCATCAGTTCATTTCAAATGAGCTCGAGCCCAGAGAAGTCAGCAGTGTTTCTGATTGTTGTTGATATGTGGCTTCCACTGTGTATGGTACAGCCTTAATTGCATTTGTGGATGCAGCAACAAACTATGCTTATTGACAACCATTTGTTAAGATATTTTTGAGCTCATGTGGTGATGTCCATCACAGAAGCATGCAGTTTTGAGTGCAGTGCTGTCTGAAGAATCTAAGGTCATGGGCTTTCAGGTGGTTTTCCACCTTGCCCTTTGTGTACAGAGATTTCTCCAGATGAGTTCACTGTAAATTCGCTAAGAAACGTTCTTCTTAAAATGCTGGATTATTCACTGCCACAATTTTGGTACAGTGTCAAGCCTCAACCCATCCTTACTTGTAAAGGACTAGACCTTTCCTAGATGCTCCTTTTATACTCACGCATGATTGTATTATCTTTTTAAGATTTTGAACACTTTGCAATGGGCCTCATTCACCAACCATTTTTAAGAAGAAATTTCTTCTTAAAATCAATTTACACAGTTTTCATGAAGATTCTGACATTGACCAATGTTTTCTTATTCGAGATTTGTTCTTAGGTAAGAACAGAATCTAAAACACTCAAGAGCACAACGATGAGAACAATTCTGCGCTTTAAGAACGTCATGAATCTGACACATTTAGAACACATTTAAGAACAAACTTAGGAAGATATTGAAGAATGAGGCCCAGTGTTCTTAGACTTAAACGGACCCTGTACCAACTTTTTTGGAGGGTGTTGCAGACATAAATTTCAGAATAAGCATATAATTACAAAAAAATAATGAAGTTGATAAGGTAAAACTAAATGTCTTTGTACTGTTTAGTATAGGTAGTAAATCTATAGTATAGATTTATAAATTACTGCTTTTTACTTGCATTTTACATACTGTCCCAACTTTTTTGGAATTGAGGTTTATATGTCAGTGACACTCTTTCCCCCATGTAATGTGTGACATCATGGGATTACAATCTCACTTGTCACTAGTCACTTTGAATACTCTTACAGAAGTTATCCAAAGGTGTAGGCCCAACAGACAGGCATGTCTCCATCCCTGCAAAGCAGCTTAACCTGAGGTGTTCACTATGACGCTTTCACCTTTCACTGTGAACACATTCATGATCCAACCCATTCAGCAACTAAATTTAGTATGATAAGGAAAATGCCTCAGAACTTGTTCTGTTTTTGTGATGAATATTTGTTTAGTTTTTGTTTTTATGGTCATCTGACAATACCAACTTTTTTATATGCAATTTTCCTGCTTTTTTAAAACTTAATTTTGGAATTTGTTAAAAATCAAAAAAAAAAAATCAGTGGTCCACTGTGACCAAAAGACCAATTCAATAAGATACCTTAAGGGATAGAAACTCACTTTTCAGCTATACGGTTTGACCAATTTCAAAACTTCTTCAGAATTGTGCTCAGGCAAGGTCAGTGGACCTACAGACCAAAGAAAAAGTCACTTCAGATATGGACATGGTTAATGACTGGCTGATTTGATAAGATAAGTGCCAGAGCAAAGCATACGGTAAATAAGAGATTCTGTCTGTTATGTCTCAACGACAGGAAACATTTAGCTAGATAGTCCGTCTTCCTGTTCCATGTTTAATGTTTTCATCAAAACTATTACTTTATGTGAAAGTAAAATGAGTGAAACTACGAATAAACAGCTTAACATAATATTGTATGAGCTCTGCTATGCCAAGTGCTGGTGCTTGAGATGTACCATTCAGACCATTATTTCCTAAGGCCTTGAGAAAATGTTTTTGGCATAATCAACACATTCTTCCTCACATTCATAAAGCTTCGAATCAATAAACGCTGATCTTTTTTTTTTACATTCACTGTGCGACTTCCAGCTGTGTCAAAGCAATTAAAATTAAGCTTGTGCTGCAATGAAGAGGGACCATTTTCCTTTCTTTCCTCTTGTCACCCCATGAAAGCCATTTGATTGCTCCACAGATGAAGAAGAACTGACATGAGTTGTCTTTTCTCCAGTGAATTGATGAGTGGGTCAAGTGCTCTTGCTTCAAGGACAGAGAAGATGTTGAGGAGTCATGTTACTAA